GGAGGTTAAAGAAGTACAACTGAGAAAATAATAATAAAAAGGTACGAGGAGATGAAGAAGAAGAATTATGAGAAGACGAGAATAAAATAAAATAAAGGGGAAAACGAAACTAATCAATAAGATGTTGCCAAAAAGATAAAGATTGATAATACAAAATAATGAAGAATACAAGATGAAATAAGAAAAAAAAATCTAAATTAAATTAAAGAAAAGACAAAAGTTGGAAGAAGAAGACGAAAAAAAACATAACAAAACAAGAAAAGAATTGAAGAATATGTGAACAATAAAGAAGTTGGAAAAATCAAAAGATAAAAAACCAAGAATAAGAACATAAAGCCAAATGAAAAAAAACTGTAAATAAAAGGAATAAAACGAATAAAAACCATGAAATAAAAAGATGACGATGAAGAGAGAGGAAAAGAAAAAGATATTAGGAAGTTTGATAACAATAAGAAAAAAAGTAGAAAATGAAGGGAAAAAATATGAAAGAAGTAAAAGACAAAATAAAAGAAGAAGAAGATAAAATGGGTTGAGGTTTACGATGTACAGTTTAAATTGATGGGCTTAAAGTTTAATTTTTGGTGCATTTTGAGAAAGTTGAATACACTACATTACCGATTAAAAAAAAACTATTTATAAGAAATAAATAAAAATAAAAGAAAAACTCTAAAACCAAATTGTAAAATGTGGGGTTCAGATGTGCGGTTTGGCGGGGATTATAATGTGGGGTTTGGGTTTATGGTGTGAGGTTGTCTGGGGGGTGGGGGGGTTACATCGTGGGGTTTGGGTTTAGGGTGTAGGGTGGTTTAGGTGGGGAGGTGGTGTTACACTGTGGGCTTTGGGTTTAGGGTGTAGGGTTAATATTGATGGGTGTAGGATTTAGTTTTTGGTGCATTTTTTTTTATGAGGTTACATCGTGGGGTTTGGGTTTAGGGTGTAGGGTGGTTTAGGTGGGGAGGTGGTGTTACACTGTGGGCTTTGGGTTTAGGGTGTAAGGTTAATATTGATGGGTGTAGGGTTTAGTTTTTGGTGCATTTTTTTTATGAGGTTACATCGTGGGGTTTGGATTTAGGGTGTAGAGTGGTTTAGGTGGGGAGGTGGTGTTACACTATGGGCTTTGGGTTTAGGGTGTAGGGTTAATATTGATGGGTGTAGGGTTTAGTTTTTGGTGCATTTTTTTTTATGAATTTGAATTATTATGAAAGAATATAAATATTAAAAACCAATGATTATAAATCTATATCTACCTTTCTAAATTAAATTTATAAATAGAAAATTAAAACAATTAAAGCAAATCCAAAAGATAACAATACCAATAGATTTTTAAAATATCTCGAGTATATAAAGATAAAACTTTTTTTCAAATCCTTGAAAATTTAAACTATCGAATTAGTTGATAGGTGAAATACAAGATGTTAAAAAGAACGAATAAAAACATGTGTAAAAGAGAAGAAGACGACGAAAAAGAAGATGTGAAATTTAGAGAAGAAGAAGAAAACTCGAAAATGAGGAAAAATAAATCATAAAAAAAAAATGGAATGTGAAGAGAAAAAAAAATAAAGAAGATATAAATAAAAACTATAATAATATGATGTTACAGAAAACAAAGATGATCAAGATAGTGAGAGGGGGGAATGAAGAAGACGACTAACCGGAAAGTAATGTATAACCGGAAAGTAATGTATAAAAAATTAGAAAGAAAATGTAGAATAGTTAGTTGGAGGATATGAAGACACAAGAAAATGTTGAAGAACAAAAATTGGAAGAAGAAGAAAAAGATGATGCAAATGAATATAAAATTGAAAGAAAAAGAAGATGGTGGGATAATTGGAGAAGAATAAGAGGGAGAAGAAACAGGAATTGAGAAATCTTTTGTATCTTTATAAACGAATAAAGAGGATTATGTTGAAAAATGAGAAAGGGAAGACAAAAATAAGACACATCAAAACTACAAAAATAAGAAAATGGCGAAAACAAAAATGATGAATACAATCATAAATTTTACTACTTATATTATTAAAATCTTTAATTAATTAATGTTTTTTTTTTAAATATTGTATCCGCACAAGGTGAGTGAACATCACCCAAAGAAATTTTAAACTAATATAAAGATCAACTGATATAAATAAGTTTTCTAAAACGATTGGTATGGTTTAAATGTTTAAATTATTTTAATGATCATATTTTGATATATTTCTTTTTATTTCAGTTTTTTAGGAAAATTATTGTAATGTTTGAATTATGAAAATTATTTGTTTTGCTTATAGATGTTTTTATTTTCAAAAACAACTCATGCCCGCGCGCGGACCAACCACCTCATTTATTATTATTTTAAAACACTTGTACAAGAAAATTTCGAACGTAGACCACACAAAAAGCACAAAACTCAATCCGAAAACGGAAACAGTTTGATTGGTCTACAGTTATCTAAGATAATCAAGTGGGGTTCAATGTCGACGGTGAGACTTGAGAGAAGCTTTAGATTTTAGGCTAGAGGACATATAAAACGTCTCCCTTCGGAATCGTTTTTCACATTTGCTAATTGCTACATGTAATTTCGGAATTTGGGAATATTCTTTGAAATTGAATTATTCAATGAAAAAGTTAGTCATGTCAAAAATTAAATTCAATGAAACGGTGATAAATGAAAATTTAATACGTGTGTATTGACCAATAAAAACCATTTAACAAAATAAAGAAATAAATTTGTTGACAAATATGTAACTTTGACGACATTTTTGTTTTGTTTTTAACTTTTGCAAATTGGCAGAATAGTAGAGACAGCCAAATCTCGACCGCATATATACAGTATATAGTCGTACGCATTCTATATTTTGTTTCTTTAGCACTTTAAAGAAAAGCCTTGTATTACAAATCTCTCATTAAATTTTTAGTCTTTCTCTCTTTTGCAAAACCTCTGTCTAATAAGAACAGAGCAAGAAGTAAAGCTGAAGCTTTGTTATTCTCAAGAAGAAGAAAAAGAGACAAAGAAAGCTTCTCATGGATTCCTTTGCTTTTGATGGTTCTTTCTCCATGTGGAAAGATGTTGCCGGATTTGCAGGTAAAAACTTCAATCTGCTTTTAATTATAATCACTGGGTTTTTTGGTAAGTTTTAAGCTAATTTCTTGATAAATTAGATTCATTTTTATTAAGAACAACTAGATAATGGATCTGGCCTAATTCCCCTGAATATCCCCAAATCAAGAAATATGTTTGGCCATTTTTGTTCATCAGTTTTCATTTTTCCTCTTCGTCTTCTTGGTACTGAAACGATCATGATAAGATTCAAATGTTGATTCTGATCAATTTCTTACAGAGGGAATCTGCTTATGCTGTAACCGAATTAATGCTTATTACTGTTTCTATCCGTACGTTTTATGACTGTTACATGGATTGTTTATTATTTAATTTAATTTAATTTTGTTTGAAAATAACTGTTTTAATCGTTCTACTGTGTTTCAGGCAACATATTTGCATTTGGGCTATTTGTTTCACCAATGTGAGTTCACTGACTTAACATATTAAAACATAGTTTTTGTTTTATCTATGGACTTCACTGATTTCTTTCTCCACTGTGTGTGTGTGTGTGTGTGTGTTACTGTTTGTTTTCAGGCCAACGTTTAGGAGGATAATGAGGAACAGATCGACCGAGCAATTCTCCGGTTTACCATACATCTACGCACTCTTAAACTGCTTGATCTGCCTTTGGTACGGCGCACCATTCATATCCCACAGCAATCTCATGCTCATGACTGTGAATTCCGTTGGAGCCACGTTTCAGCTTTGTTACATTGTCCTCTTCATCATGCATACAGACAAGAAAAGCAAGGTTTCCAATTCGAAAAACCCTCTAAACCCGCCTTTTTTTTCTTCAGTTTAGTCTAATCAAGATCTTGATAATGGCAGATGAAGATGCTTGTTTTGCTTCTTGTGGTGTTTGCTGTGGCTGGATTGATTGTAGCTGGAAGTTTGCAGATACCTGACAAGCTCACACGATGGTACTTTGTTGGGATCTTGAGCTGCGCTTCTCTTGTCTCAATGTTTGCATCTCCCTTGTTTGTCATCGTAAGCTCTCCCACAAATGTCAAAATGTTCAGCTTTGTTCTTGAATCTTGATTTTGCCTGACTTGTTGTCTTGTCTTTTGCAGAACTTAGTGATTCAGACTAAGAGTGTTGAGTTTATGCCGTTTTATCTTTCTCTATCGACTTTCTTGATGAGCGGTTCCTTCTTCCATTACGGGTTATTCAACAGCGACGCCTTTGTTTATGTAAGTTACTCTCTCAATAATTGCTTTTTGCAGTTTGTGTTGTTTCTTTAAGAGTAATAACATAACCTCTTGTTTCTTGTTTTTTACAAACTCAGACACCAAATGGAATAGGAACGGTTCTTGGTATTGTGCAGCTGTCTTTGTACTGTTACTACCACAAAGCTTCTATAGCGGAAGAAACAAAGGAGCCTTTGATTGAAACTTATGTGTGAAGAAGCAAATCTTTCTATGTATGGTTGTGAAAAGAACAAAATTGTGGGGCTACATCAAGATTCTTTGTTGCTCTTGTTGTCTACTTTGTGCCATTCTCTCATCATGGCGTGAAGATGTTTATCCTCTCGGCTTCTGTCATGATCGAAAGATGGAGGCGTTTTGCAATTTTTGATGGCTTAATTCATCTGAAGACACATGGCAGATTCACTGGTGTGGTTTTTTTCTTTAGGTGGGTTGATTTCAAGAAAATTTGTCCATATATTGTTTGTTTTGGAATATTATCCTATTTGTTTGTTCATAAGATTTTGCTTTCTTAGTCAACAATAATAAAAGAAAGAAAATTTGCATCTATTTGTAGCAAATTGTTTGTTCATACTTTTCTTTGTCCAGCTAAGCAAACAAAAAGAAAACACACACACAGAGAGAAAGAAAGAAGATTCGCATCTACATCATATAAGACATAGTTTAACTTGCAGTACACGAAACTCCAAGAGACGTCCATGCAGAGAAAACAAATGTCAAAGCAAATCTCTCAAAGTTGTTCTCACCAGAGAACTCTGTTTCACCTAAAAAACAGAACAAGAACTTATTAGTTATATTATATCCATCTCTGACCAAAAATGGTTGTTTAATGTAGGAAAGGAGTGTAAAACTAACACTACTCACTTCTTGAGGTTGAGGTTGATGTTGATGAAGCTGAAGACCTTGTTCATCATACAATATCAAACCGCTAAACCGCGGCAATTCACATTTCTCACCCATCAGGATCGGTCGCTGCCAAACCGGATCAACCGCATTAAGGCTCCTTTCTTTAACCGCAAGCAACGGCAGCGGACGCCGCGTTTCCGTCTCCATCCACTTGGCAGCAGAGCTCCAACAAAACGAACCCATCAACCTTCTCTTCACTTTGCTCCACTTGCAACTCCTCTTCCCCTCCATTGTTCTTGATCCAACCGCTCTTTGGAACGCCCACTCCGCGTCTCCTACTTGCTTTCCTCGAGAACTGCGGTTGAGAAACGCTGCGGCTGTGCAGAGAAGCGTTACCGCAGCCACTGTTCCGACCAAAATGAAGACGGCTTCGTTTGTCGTTAGCTTCAGTTTCTCCTCCAGCTTCCACAAGGCTTCCATTGTTTTTTTTGGTTGTCTTTGGTCCTTTTTAGGGGTCTATTAGAGCGATTGGAGAGTAATGGGTGAGGTAAGTATATAGGTGAAAATGGTGAGCTTCCTGTGAACTCCACCGTTACAGATTTATTACTACTCATCATTATGATCTTTATACCCTATGTACTGTTTTGCTACTCAAATCTTTAACGGTATTTTTTTGGTCAACCTATAACTAACCCTTTGCATTTCGAGTTTTGGGACGGGAATTAACAAGAAACGGACAAAAAATTGGAAACTTAGTAAATTAGATACGCTATCAATGTATTTCTTTATTATAACTAGGTTTTTAACCCGCGCACGCGCGGGTCTGTTCTAATGATTTTTTAAATTGTTATATTTAAATTTATTTTCTTCCAAAGCTTCACAATTTTTTATTTTTTGCTGTTTTTTTATAAACTTATCTTTGTAATATACTTTTTAATTATTTTTTTACTTTACCAATTTAATTATTTTATAATTAATCATAATAAGTAAGGTACTTTTTAAAAACGTATTTTCTGTAAAAAACATACAATAGCCCTATCCTCACATTTCTTAATATTTATATGTTTTGTCAATTGCTTCATAAAATTCGACATAAGAATAGATCCCAAACTTTTCTTTTTCAATATTATGACAACATGATCAGCCTGAACCAACATTGTTTTTAAGTGAACCGTATTAGAAACTTGTGAAAAAAAAAACCTTATAATTTGGCTTGTCGTCTTTGTTCTAAATTGGTAGCTTCTTTTTCTTTTTATTTATTCTTATTCGTTTTTTTGGTCATCTTCACTCATCTTCTTTGCTCTTCTTCGTCTTCGCTCGTCTTGCTTCCTCTTTTGGTTTCTTCTCCTCCTTTCTTCTTTGATTAATTCTTAATTTTCAATTTCATCTTCGTGGTTTCTTATTCGGTGTTTCCGTCTTCAACTTTGTTATTCTTTGGGTCTTTTTTTTTCTTTCTACTTTGGTATCTTCGTCTTCGATAATTTTTAATTTTATCTTCTTAATGTTCTTCTTTCATATCCTCTTCATATGTCATTTTTCAGTCTGAGTATATGATTCAGCCATTTTCTTCAACAAACTTGTGGCAAATGAGAACTCTTCACTGTAAATCCTTCAAGGTGCAACAAAGATGATTACTTTGTCTCCAATAGTTTTATTGTCTACTCCTTTCCACCCTTGGATTTTTTGGCATCCGTAGAAGGCTGGTACTCTCTTCCTATTTGAATATTGTGAGTTACAGTAAAATAAAATCTTCCTTAAGGCTGTGAAAGATGTCCATGAATGAATGCCCGAAGTTCAGCTAAGAAAGCAGCCTCTTTTTATCCTCTGTTTGGCATGCATTAGAATATGGAACACAAAATATTGTTTTTGTAATGCAACTTGGAATATTTTCTTAGAAAAATGTGGTATGATATGGATTATCAAATCTCCCTTGAACTCTCATCTGCTCCGTAGAAGTGCAAGTATACTAATTACTTCGTTTTTTCTTCCTCTTCACTTATATTCACTCATCCACACTCATCATCTACTTTGATCTTCTTCGTATTTGCTCGTCTTGCTTCTTCTTTAGACAAATGTGGTATGAGATGGATTATCAAATCTTCTCCGTAGAAGTGTAAGTATACTAATTACTTCGTTTTTTCTTCATCTTCACTTATATTCACTCATCTACACTCATCATCTACTTTGATCTTCTTCGTATTTGCTCGTCTTGCTTCTTCTTTTTCGTTCTTGTTTGGTTTATTCTCCTCTGTTCTTATTTGATTCCTTATATATCAATTTCATCTACGTGGTTTCAGATTCGGTGTTTCCATCTTCTACTTTATTCTTCTTTGGTTTTTTTTTTTTGTCTTTCTATTTTGGTATCTTCGTCTTCGATGTTCTTTATTTTTATCTTCTTATTGTTCTTATTCCATATCTTCTTCATATGGTATTTTATAATATGAATTTGTGATTCAGTCTTTTTTTCAACGAAGTTGCGGCAAGCGAACACCTTTCATTGAAACTTCTTCAAGGTGCAAAAAAGATGACTACTCTGTCTCCAATAGTTTTATTATCTACTCCTCTCTACCTTTGGATTTTTTTGCATTTGTAGAAGGCCCATAAACTTTTCCTATTTGAATATTGTGATTTACATAAAGATAAAATCCTCTTTAAAGTTGTGAATAATGCCCAATTGCCCATGAATGAGTGATGCCCGAAGTTCAGCTAAGAAAGCAGACTCTCTTTACCCTCTCTATTTGGCATGCATATAATCTGAAATGGAAAATCTTGTTGTGATAATGCAACTTGGAATGTTTCCTTGGACAAATGTAGTATGAGATGGATTATCAAATCTCCCAAGAACTCTCCTTTGCAATGCAAGTCTAGTCTTTACTTGTTTGACCAATATTGTTGAAATTCTTGTGATAAATAAAGTGTAATTTAGTGGGCTATATGCATATTTTTCTTTTCCCAATGTAAGTTGGATCTCGCAAAACTTGATCTCTCTTATCATCTCAAAGGAACTACACATGAATTTAAATGTCTTCTTCATGACATTAGCCGTCTTTATTATTATTATTTTTTATCTTTTTTTATTATTTCATATCTAGATTATGTAATGTTAATATCCACTCACTTGCAAAGTTGGCTATATTTACTTTGAACAAATCTTTCAGTTATTACTTATTAGGGTGTAACTTTCTCTTTTTGTTTTTTTTTTTTTAAGTTAGCTAAAAAAGAAAACTCACCATATAATTTTTCATGATTAATATAGTAGTTCCCTTAAAATATTTTTGTATAAATCTTTCAAATATAGTTACTATTTTAACAAAAATTGAAGCACTTTATTTAATTATTTTGGAATTTTGAAGTTTAATAATTTAAAATCGGTTATATATTAGAGTTACTAAAAAATTAATATTACAAATTTACAAAATCGTTTATATATTAGTTTCTTTTTATTGGTTTAGAAAATATAATTTCTTTATTTAATAAATTATTTAATACGAAAATAAATAATTCCCTTAAATTCGGAAATTATCTGAAAATATAAAAAGGAAATCAATTAATTTTACAAAGACTGTAATTAAATTTATATGATGATGTGGAATGAAACTATTGATTGTTTAAAATTGGAAAAATTACTTAATTTTGGAGATGTTAATGTGGACCAATTAAATCGCGTCTTTAAATCTTATGTGGACACTTTTAGAGGCTTATAGCCTCAACTTTTATATTCTCTTAAAATATTTTTGTATAAATCTTTCAAATATATTACTAAATCGAATTTAAGTTTTAACAAAAATCGAAGCACTTTGTTTAATTATTTTGGAACTGTGAGGTTTCTTAATTTAAAATCAGTTATATATTAGATTATTAAAAAAATAATATTACAAATTTAAAAATTGTTTATATATTAGTTTCTTTTCATTGGTATTTGAAAATATAATTTCCTTATTTAATAAATTAGTTAATACGAAAATAAATAATGCCCTTAAATTAGGAAATTTTCTGAAAATATAAAAAGGAAATCAATTAATTTTACAAATACTATAATTAAAATTATATGATGATGTGGAATGAAACTATTGGTTGTATAAAATTGAAAATTACTTAATTTTGGAGATGCTTATGTGGACCAATAAAATCGCGTCTTTTAATCCTATGTGGACGCTCTCAGAGGCTTATAGCCTCAACTTTTATATAGTATAGATTGGACGAGAAATACCGTAAATGGGATGAAGATGAGAAATTTGGGACTAAAAAAACAATACCTAAAGTCTTAATAAAACGGAAAAATTGAAGATATTACAAGAAAATTTCGGGAAAATATGGAAAACTGAGGATATTTAGAAAAGAAGAACAAAATTTACTTTTATTTTATTTTTCTAAACAGGTAGTTCGAGAAATCCAAGGAGCAGGACTCCTATCCCAAAATGCATAGGCCTACTATAACTGTATAGTCTATAAATTTTCATGGATACACAAAATTAGAAATAATTATTACAAAAATAATTTTGTTAGATCGAAAAAATGATAGAATTGTTACTTGAATGGTTTGTTTTCGTTTGTTATAGACTTATAGACTTCTAACTTGTAGGGACACAAAGGATTTTATGAGATCACGAGCCACACAAGGTTTGTTCTTGTTCTTGTTGAGTGGACCTATGGACCTGTGGTCCACAACTTAAAAGATGAAGGAGCAAGTTGAAATGCCCGAAGTATGTGGGTGAAAAATGAAATTATGACTATATAGTTGGGAGATTATGTAAATACCAAAACTAAAAGGAGTAATTCGAAAAACTTACCATCGTCAATTCACTTTCCGGCGAATTGGATATTCGGAGGTTTTTGATTTCTCTTGCGCAATCGGAGTTCCTCTAGTTCTGCAAACATTCTTCGAATAGTTTTGCGTCAATCGATCCTCAAATTGATGAACAAAGTGCTTTCTCAGGTATCCTGATTCGTCTTCTCCGGTGCGGAAGACTTCTATTGTTCGTTAGCGGTTTGCAATCGTCGAAGGTCAGTGCGTAATTTTGATTTTGTAGAGAAAAGCTTGCGAGGAATTGAGATAGTCATTGCTATTCTGCTTAGTGTTTGAGACTCTGCGTTGGCTTGATCATAAGGAATTTTGAAATCCTTGAGCGTAATGTCTGGAAGAAACCGTGGACCTCCTCCTTCGATTAAAGGAGGATCTTACGGCGGCTTACAAGCTCCGGTTCACCAATCTCCTTACGTCAGAGGCTTGGGAGGAGGACCAGTGCCTCCTCCTCCTCCACGTTCCTCTATGATAGATGATAGTAGGGAAACTCAATACAGAACTGATCCAAGAGGTCTTCCTTCACATCATTCAATCATGGAGGATCGTCTCGCTGCTCAGAATCAAGACGTGCAGGGCTTGCTTGCCGATAACCAGACTCTGGCCGCGACTCACGTCGCGCTTAAACAGGAGCTGGAAGTTGCTCAGCACGAGCTGCAGAGGATGATGCATTACATTGAGTCGTTGAGAGCTGAGGAAGATATAATGATGAGGGAGATGTATGACAAGTCTCTCCGATCCGAGATGGAGCTGCGTGAGCTCGATGCTATGCGTGGTGAGATTCATAAGGTTCGTGCGGATATCAAAGAGTTTAGTTCGAGTAGGGAGGAGCTGACGAGCCAGGTTCATTTGATGAGTCAAGATTTGGCTAGGCTCACTGCAGATTTGCAGCAGATACCAACACTAACTGCAGAGATTGAGAACACAAAGCAAGAGCTGCAACGCGCTAGGTGTGACTAGTCTCTTTTTTAGATTTGCCTTTGTTCATCTTGATGTTGATGTGTGTTCTGAGCTGTGGTTTCTGTTTTGTTAGAGCGGCTATTGACTACGAGAAGAAAGGGTATGCGGAGAATTACGAGCACGGTAAAATTATGGAGCAGAAATTAGTTGCAATGGCTCGGGAACTGGAGAAGCTGAGAGCAGAGATTGCTAACTCGGAAAATAGAGCTCATGCAACTGGTCCTGTTGGGAATCCTGGTATAGTAAACTTGAATAACTATAATAAATCATCACAATGTAGAGCAAAATGAATCACTATAATCAATCTACAATCAGTGGTAATTTTTTGAAAACTTGTTTTGATCAGGTGGAGTTGGTTATGGCGGTGGCTATGGAAATCCTGAAGCTGGCTATCCTGTGAATCATTATCAACCCAACTATGGCATGAATCCAGTAAGTTATAAAGTTTTAACTTTTATCCATTTCTCGTGGGATTCTCTTCTTTAGTTTTATAACAAGAAGAGCATTGTGTGTGCTATAGTAAACGTTAGCTAGATAATTTTTCTGAACACACCATAGTTCTTCTGTCTAGACAGTTTTATCTGACTTAGTTTGACCTTGGGATCTTTGGATATGAACCAAACTACATTAGCAATAGTAGAGCCTTAAGGTTCAAACAAGTCATCACTTTGATGTAACCAGAACTGGCTCAATGGACTTGTTAGACCAATAGAGCTGTGGTCGATGAAACCTGTGACAGAATATATCTAACGGAACAACAGCAATCTTCACCATATCTCCAGTAGTCTTGTAGTTTTAGGTGCATACATATACATACGCATCAACATTTCTGACGTCATGTGTTCTTATGATGACAATGCTGGTTCAGGCACAGGCAGGCGTTGAAGGCTACTATCCTCCTCCTTATGGACCACCTACTACGTGGGCTGGTGGCTACGATATGCAGCAGCAGCAGCAACCACCACAAGGACAAGGGCATCAATGAAATTTTCTAATTAGTCTAACTTTTTCGAATACAACTGAACTCATGAAACTGAAGCAAAGCAGCCTCTCTTTTGTAACTTTACTCTGATTTTCAGACTTTCAGTATGCATATGATGATATGATTTTAAACAAGAGAAACAAACTAACCAACATATATACAAGTGTTGATGACTAAGGAAAAGAAATAAGCCCACAGTTTTCTTCCCAATAAAAACAAGCTCATTAAAATCTAAAACGGGCCAAATTTTAGGCCCACACGAAAAAGTGGCGGGTAAATTAGAAACTTTTTTCGGTTGGAAAAGAGAAGAGAAGAAAATAAATGAAATTTTCAAAGAAAATATAATTTCAGAAATGTCGCGGGTAATCTTTTCCCACTCACAGTTTCACCAAACAGCATTTCCGAAAAAAATCAGGCGGCAAAGTAATGATTTCGTTTGCCCTTATAATTTCTCTGAGATCTGCGACTCTGTTTACACAACCTCTTCATTCTTCTGTAAACTCCATAGATCTAAAAGAGCAGAAGCTATGGATTCTCATTCTCAGTATCAGGATTTGCCTCCTCTCAAAAGATTTCGACTGATCCAGCGAGATCTCGAACTCGCGGCGGAGCAGCAGCAGCTACAGAGTCAATCGGAGGCGAAGTCGTTGCAGTTACCGGCGAAGAAGAGGAAGCAATCTCGAGTCGATTACGATGACAACGACGACGGCGAGAACTCTAATCCTACCTACCAATGTCTTCCGGCGAAGAAACGGATCTGGGCGATTGATCCAGATCTGCTCTCCGGTAATCATCCCCTTTCGCCTTTCGATCTGAATATCGAGTATAAGCCTTGCGTTGATGAGAAGTCTATCGAGAAGAAAAAGTCAACTCTAGTGAGTCAGTCGAGTCTAGAAGTAGAGTTTGATGATAAAGAGAACATCGTTCCTCTAGGAGATGAAGAAGATTGTGGTAGTGATGATGGGATTATGTGTGTTGTATGTCAAAGCACGGATGGTGAGCCATCGAATCCAATCGTCTTCTGTGACGGTTGTGATTTAATGGTTCATGCTTCGTGTTATGGGAACCCTCTTGTCAAGGCTGTACCAGAAGGTGACTGGTTCTGCAGACAGTGTATTGCGTCGAAGAAGAGTGAAAGAAAAAGCTTTTCTTGCTGCTTGTGTACAAGCAAAGGTGGAGCGATGAAAGAAACAAAGGATGGTCGATGGGCACACATCACTTGCTCGTTGTTTGTGCCGGAAGTTTACTTTGAGGATCCTGAAGGAAGGGAAGGGATTTGTTGCGGTGAGATACCGAGTAAGAGGTGGAAAGATAGGTGTTGTTTGTGCAAGATTAGACGTGGGTGTGTTATCGAGTGTTCGGAGATGAAGTGTCAGCTGGCTTTTCATGTTACTTGTGGGTTGAAGGAAGATCTTTGTGTTGAGTATCGTGAAGGGAAGAAGAGTGGTGGTGGTGGTGGTATTGTTGTTGGTTTCTGCAGTGAGCATACTAAGCTATGGGAGAGGGTAAGTTTTTTGTCATTTTTTTTCTCTGGTCTGTTAAATGTGTTTCAGTGTTTGTATTTGTAGAGCTCGATTTTTGATGATTATGTTCGTTTGTTTGTCAGCAACAGGAAAGTGGAAAGTACAAGATTGTTGCTAGAGATGAAGATAAGAAGTAGAAGAAGAAGCTTCAATAAGCAGTCTTTGGCTTGCAACTCTTAGAAGCTTCCTATGGTTTTGTTTTTGTTCATTGATTTGATTATCTGATGAGCTTAAACGTCTTTTCTTATATCATTGTTATCTGATAAGTGCTTGATGATATCAAGTTGATGTTTTTTTTTGCTTTTTTTCTTTTTCTGAAAGATATGTAATGTTCTTCTATGTTTCAACTTTAAACAGTTTAGAGTTGTACAAGTCTTAAACTTGTTCAATCTGATTCACTTCTCATTGTATTTTAAAGTTTCTAGTTTCCAAAATATTTATGGTAGCTAAAAGATAATTTAGTTACTGTCATAATCATGAATATCATAAGAATTAAGAAATGAGTATAAATCCTTTTGTTAAATTGATGAGTAATCGTGGAAGTCCAGTGATTTTCTTGTTAGACTCCATGGTGGCATTAGACCCAAAATCTTGGCAAGCAAGTAGCTTAAAGGTGTAGAGCCTAGTCTTGATGAAATCCAGAGATCCTCTGACCAATTATGGCAAAGAGCCAAAGATCAGTTCCTTTGGTTTACCGAAACCGATTACCAAACCGGAGTCTCGTTTATTACATTCCGTACCGGTAAACAGGTTTAACAAAAGGCATTGGTGTCGCCGCCACCACCTCGAACCAAACAGAGATGGAGAATTTCTCCGACCATCCGAACTGCAACGACGGATCTCAATCAGATTTGCTTAGCTATCCAAGCTCATTGCAGGTCCAATTATATTAATTAATCATGGAAAAAAACTAGAATTTTAAGGTTTCAGAAACATGTAGTCTTTCTCTGTCGCACAGATTAGCAACAAAAAGTTAAGCTCTGATTCAAAAAAACGGAAGAACAAAACCCGAACGAGAAAACGATCAGAAAATTTTGGACCATTTCTCGATTTGTGCGATCTTATCGGATGTCTCCGAAGGGACAATTATCTATGTCACTCCAACCGTATATAAAGCAACCTTCTTCTCTGTATCTGAGCGATGTGGGAGTTTTTGACGCGTATAACACAGTTAACAACGTAATTGGGCTTATTTACCATAAAACCTCTTATTCTATTATTCGTGAGCCCAGTAAAAAGTATTTGACCATTTAAGCTCAAGCGGCCAATTTAAAATTTATAACATATATACAATACAGAACAAACTTTAATAACGTCGGGCAAACTTTAATAACGTCGGGATTTGATATTTTATTAATTTATAGAGTTATTAATATATAAATAAAATAAAATTTAATAATAAGAATCTTTTAAGTTTTCCTTCAAATGAAATAAGAATTTTCCTTTATACATATATTTTCTTAAATTTTTTCTTTAATTATTTCTATATTTACTTTATTGTTTACATTTTCTCATACTCGCTACATTGTTTTAAATTTTCTTTTTTTCTTTTATTTTTTATGTGTGAAAAATTCATATTTTAGTAGGTAGATATTTAGATAAAAAAAATATATATATAGAAATAATTTTTTATATGATAATTATTAATTTATGATATTATTGGGACCATATTTTACATAGGAGTTTAAAAAAGTTATTATCTTATTATCTTATCGAATTATGTTATATTTTACACGGGTTCAACTTGAGACTGGAGAAATTTATTAATTTATTGTGTTTATTAATTTATCGAGTATTAATTTATAGAGTTTCTATTATAGCCTGATGATCTTCTTCTTCTTACTTATGAGTTGAGATTTGAGAGCGAACGCTTCAGTCGCTATTCCTATTCATGATCCCTTTTAGCGATTACATCCTAAGATAGACACGGCTACGTAGTCTGCTTGTTAAAAGGCGAGATCTTTGCTCGAAAATTATAATAATTCAGATTACTGCAAAACATAACAGAAAATGACCGCTGCATCAAAGATTGAAAATCTTTCTGTCGGAAGTCTGAGGTTTCTCTCACGAAACCCAGATTTCTTCGCCTCTGTAACAAAGCCTCCTGCTCCAGCATCTTTCTATTCCACAGTGTCAGCTCAAATCGAAGATCAGCAGAAGAGATTCGAGTACCACAATGTCGCCACATGTATCGCCACATTGCAACGGTGTGCGCAGCGCAACGACGCCGTTTCCGGCCAACAGGTCCACGGATTCATGGTCAGGAAAGGGTTCCTCGACGATTCGCCACGCGCCGTCACGAGCCTCGTCAACATGTACGCCAAGTGTGGTCTTATGCGCCACGCGATCTCGGTCACCGGCGGATCGGAGGATCACGAGCGCGATGTGTTCGGTTACAACGCCATCATTTCTGGGTTTGTGATAAATGGCTCTCCTTTGGACGCCATGGAAACGTACAGAGAAATGAGAGCTAAAGGAATTTTCCCTGATAAGTATACATTCCCAAGTTTGCTAAAAGGAAGCCATGTCATGGAAGCTTCCGATGTTACGAAGATTCATGGGTTGGCGTTTAAACTAGGTTTTGATTCGGATTGTTATGTGGGGAGTGCGCTAGTGAACTCCTACTTGAAGTTCAGGCTAATGGAGGATGCACAGAAAGTGTTCGACGAAATGCCTGAGAGAGACGACAGTGTGCTTTGGAATGCTTTAGTTATTGGGTATTCACAGAATTTCAGATTTGAGGACGCTTTAAAAGTCTTCGTTAAAATGCGTGAAGAAGGTGTAAGCTTGACGAGGCACACAGTCACCGGAGTCTTATCGGCGTTTACTGTGTTAGCCGATCTTGACAACGGCAGGTCAATCCATGGCCTTGCGGTGAAAACGGGATCCGATTCTGATATCGTTGTGTCGAACGCATTGATTGATATGTATGGGAAGAGCAAATGTCTAGAAGAGGCAATCAGTATATTCGAAGCAATGGATGAGAGAGAGAGAGATCTCTTTACATGGAACTCGGTGCTATGTGTTCATGACTACTGTGGTGATCACGATGGAGCTTTAGCTCTTTTCCAAAAGATGCTTCGTTCCGGAAGAATCCGGCCTGATCTCGTTACGTTGACGACAGTTCTCCCAACTTGCGGTCGTTTAGCTGCATTGCAACAGGGGAGAGAGATTCATGGCTACATGATCGTCAACGGACTTTTAAACCGGAACAACTCGAACGATGAGTTCATAAACAACTCCTTGATGGACATGTACGCGAAATGCGGCGACTTGAGGGATGCGCAGACGGTTTTCGACTCGATGAGGAGCAAAGACTCGGCTTCTTGGAACATAATGATTAATGGCTACGGTGTTCAGAGCTGCGGCGAGTTAGCTTGGGATATGTTTTCAACTATGTGCAAAGCCGGTGTTAAACCGGATGAGATCACATTCGTTGGGTTGCTTCAAGCATGTAACCACTCAGGCTTTGTGAGCCAAGGGAGGAAGTTTCTGGAAGAGATGGAGAGAGTTTATAAGATTGTCCCAACGAGTGATCACTACACTTGTGTGATCGACATGCTTGGCCGTGCAGGGAAGCTAGAGGAAGCGTATGAGTTAGCAGTAGCAATGCCTGTGGAAGATAGTCCTGTTGTCTGGAGATCGATATTGTCATCTTGTCGCCTCCACGGGAACACAGAGCTCGCACAGGTGGCGGGGAAGCGGCTGTACGAGCTTGAGCCAGAGCATTGCGGCGGTTATGTGTTGATGTCTAATTTGTATGTGGAAGCTGGGAGATACGAGCAAGTTTCGGAGCTTAGAGACGCAATGAGACAGCAGAATGTGAAGAAGACGCCAGGTAGCAGCTGGATTGAGATCAAGAATGACTTACACGTGTTCTTCACCGACGATAAGACTCACCCGGAATATGAATCTATCCTCGCTTGTTTAAGTCCGTTGACTCATCATATCATGAGTATATGCCACTAATTTTTAGTACTAGTAGACATTTTTGTACCATTGAATAAAAAAAGATTATTTACTTCAATTGGGTTTTAACCATTGATTATTATGTAGTTTACTAATTCTGTTGTGCGAAAGACAATCGTTTACGGACTACAAAATCTAAGAACCAACCACAATTTGGGGTAAATTCTTTGGCGGCCATTGCTCTGTATTATTAGCGAAGAGATCAACTTTCAGAGTAATATTGATTTTTTCTTCTTTTCTTTTAGATTCCTTTGTTCTTTATCACATATGGGACCGATCTTGAAAGACCAAAATCTTAGTTTCTTCCAACAAGATAATCACAGACAAAACCTGGAGCAGTTTCCGAGCAGACATTGGCTTTCGCCGAGAAGTTTGGTGGGGTTAAAACTGAACTCTTTCTTATAATACAATCTCAAATGTGTTCACAAATCAGGCTCGTTCGAATAATACTTACATTACATAACGACTAATGAGGGGAGTTTCTCTGGCAATCAATCACCTGACACCAACAATCTGCTAAATTCTAAGACATGCCATACCCAACGGTGCCTATGCTCCGGTGTGCTGCTACTGCAACCGCGGCTGCTCCAACAGGGCCATACTGGGATTGTGCCTGCAACAGCTTAGCATCAATACCCACCTTGTGCTGTGATTGGACGTAAGGGTTTGGGTTCAGCTCAGCAGCTGCTTTCACGGAGTTGCATTGCGCAGGGACAACAAACTGCGGTTTTGGCTGAGAAGCAGCTTCTGTGACACCGCGCTTCTCTTGGTTCATGGCATTAGGATGGAAGTAACCGTTAGGAGACACGGTCTGTTGAGGGAGCACCGTGCTTCTGTAATACGATGTCCTGTTATTCTCATAATTTACAGATGATTCCACAGCACGGCCTGGTTTACCTGCTAAAACATAAGGAATGCGACTGAGTATGAGAAGAATACTGTGTCCCTATATGTGGTGTCAACTAAAGAAGATAGATAGCTACAACTTTTCAGCCCCAGAGAGAAAAAAAAAAAGTCAAATACTTCCATAGATTGATTGGGATTTTTACCTGATGGTACTTTCGGAGGGGGTCCTAAAGGTTTAGTTGAATTTGCTGATGTTACATTTCTTGAAGGGTCGAAAGGAACATATCGACTCTCTGGTGCATTTATGCCAGTTTGAGGGTTGGAGACTGCAACACTGGGGTGAACTGTAGACCTACACGGAGATGAAGAGGAAGAGATTAACCACAACTGCCATACTGAAGCAAAAGAGGTGTAAATTCTGCGTGGTTGATCAGATGAGAAAACATACCGTGGAAGAGAAGCGTGCTTCCTCTCTGGAGGTGTGACTGGCCCACTTTTGCCACTATTTTCTTCTAGGTACGCAAACTGTTTCCTCAGATGACCGATGGCACTGCAATTTTAGAGTCAATGGATCAGCAAAAAGGAATTAAAGAGAGTATAACGTCTCGCATGTATTTTACATGCTAGAAAAAGAAGACAGACTATGGATCAAAAAGAGGAAGTACGAACCTAGGATATAAGAAATTTGAGCCTTCAGATCCATTCAGATAATCCTTGAGCAGCTGCGGATGGTATTCTAGTATCTCCCTGTATATTAGCTCTCTAATGTCATCCTTTGTCAACCTTCGTCTTTCAAACTCAAACTCCATCTTCGAGATTGGCTGACAAGAAGGTTCTCTCTCAACTTTAGCAAGGCCCTTAAAGTAAGGATCAGCCAGCGCCTGTCAAACAACATCACAGTGTAAGGAGCTGAAATATGAACAAGAACCCTCTGGACTAGAAATTGACAGAAGACGCACCTCTGCAGCAGTCGGCCTATCCTTGGGATCAAAGGCCAACAGTCTTTGCAAAAGGCGCAATGCTAAAGGATCTACGTTAGGAAACTTTTGAGAGAAGGGGACAAGGGTTTTCTTCCTCATTTCGTTCAAGTATTTTCTAGCTTTTTCATTTCGAACCTGCATTAGAGATGATATCATAAGTAATGCAAGGAAAAAAAGGAAACCTGGTAATGTGGCAGCAAAAAGAACATACCCCAGCAATGGTCTCTGATTTTGGTGTGCCAAGAAGATCGGTAATCAAATCCAACTGATGGACAACACTTTTTCCAGGAAACAAAGGCTTCCCTAATAATACCTCTGCAAAGATGCAGCCAATGCTCCAAATGTCAATAGCTGGAGTATACTGCAAAAGATAAAAACAGCATAAAGATAATGTCAGACTATTGAGCATATGATTCTGGGGGAAAATATGCACTTTGCAGAAAGAAACCACTCAAATGGGAATAGCCTAATACGTAACTCAAAGGCCAACAGTTCCACATAAATTCTACACTAAACCTGTAACATTTACAAACACACAAAAAGGGCAAAAGCATACAGGGAAGAAGACGAAGAACAACAAGTACCTTAGAACAGAATGATCCACAGAGCTCAGGTGCCCTGTACCACCTTGTGGCCACATAATCCTGGAACAAGAAAGACACAGAAGAAAAATTCAAACTCACTGAAGCAAATACCAAAACAGAATTAATAATTAACAGAAAGGTGCATACCGTCCAAAAGACTGTTGTAGGCGTATCATTGAACGACACTCTTGCTAGTCCAAAGTCGCAGACTTTCAACTTGCAGTTTGCATTTGCGAGTATGTTCTTCGGTTTAAGATCACGATGGTAAACATTAGCTGCACCAAGACAGAATCCAGTTAATTACAAGTTCACCAATTACAGCGAATTGTGAGAAGGTAAAAAGAGCAAAAATCCACCTGTATGCATATACTTCAAGGCACGAAGCATCTGATAAAGGAAAAACTGGTGGTGCTCTTTCGTCAAGTCATCGTTGGCTTTGATGACTTGATGCAAGTCCGATTCCATGAGCTCAAACACCACATAAATGTCTTTGAACTCCCTCTTCGATGGTGGCAGCATGATGCTCTTGATCTCGACTATATCCGGATGCCTTAGGAGCCTGAGAAGCTTGACCTCACGGAGGATGCGGAGAGCATCGGAGATATGTTCGAATACATCGTTAATCTTCTTTATGGCCACTTTCTCTCCCGTGTGCGTATCAATCGCTGCACAAACAACTCCGTAGCTTCCTTTCCCAATGACCTCAAGAATCCGGTAACGGTTTGCATCGCCGTACTCGGTGAAAAATTCCAACTCTTTCATGTTCTGTTAAATCATCAACATCACAAATTAGCAAAATCCAAAAAAAAAGATCTCCGATGAATCGCATTCACTATTGTAATCAGATTCAACAAAAAAAAAAAAAAAACTAGAAGAATCAGATAGACCAACCTTCTTCCCCTGAACTTGTTGCATCCTCTTCAACGAATATAAACTCAAAAGTCTTCCCAGATTACTCAGACGAACACAAAGGGTAAGCGAAGAAGATGACGCAGAATGATTTTCTCAGCAACCAATAAGTAGAAAGATGACCAAGTTCGAATACAGCTCAACAACCCTATCGCCTTCCTCAATTCAAAATCCAAAACTCAGCAACTTAAAAATCCTTTTGATGATCTCGGACGAGATCGCAATAAAAAAGAGTGATCAAAGAAAATGGCGATTCTTCGAATCACAAAACCAGAATTGAGAAATTCCGGAAACCAAAACCCGATCGAGATTTCGAAAAGCCCTAGAGAATCTCAAAAGAACCCCCAACTCCACAGACCTTCTTCGCAGAAAAAGCGAGCGAGAGATAGAGAGAGAGAGATGAGATGATAAAATCTAAGATCCTCAAGATCCAGCGATCGGAGAAAAAAGAAGATAGAAAATCTGAAGATCACAAATGCTTATATATACCGATATTGATTTTATTTTTTTCCGTGTATACTAATTTTATAGTTTTATTAGTTTCCTCAAAAATTAATATTTGCCTAATTTTAGCAATTTTCGTGGTACCGATAGGCGTACGGGGACAGGTCACGAGGAAAGGCAATGGCAGCATCGTAATTTTATCACAACTATGAGCCTTAATAGTTAAGTTTGTTAAACTGTCGGTGATCATTTTCGAGATTGACCCGTTGTGAGGCAACTAACGCTGGACCGTTTTAAATATTTCTATGTTGCACCCCTCATTTTATTCATTAATCAATATTCAACCACTCCTTTTTTAATCCTCATCTAATTAACCATTGTTTATTGATTTCGTGGTGATACTATTTTCCAGCTAATTTTACCCGTTAGACCTCAAACAGTTCGTTTGATCTCTGTTATAGCCGTAAGACTTACCTCTAATCATCGTTAACGTTTCACGTGTATTATACACATGGCGCAATTTAATATTATGTGTATAAGAAGTTATTGAGTTTTCTAACGCTGTCTAAATATAAAAATGCTAGTGATAAAAAAAAAAAAAAAAAAGAAATGCTAGTGATTACGTTTACATATAAATAAAATGAGGAAGACTTAAGTGTCAACAAAATAAAATAGGATTGTGACGTTCGCAAGCGACCTTGCTGTTGTTGCCGCTACAACGTTAAGATCAATGGAAATTAAAGATTGAAAGACTCATTTTACCTCTTTCAAGTAAAAAAAATATACAACGAAAACATTTTTTATTATTTTATAAAAGGTTGATAACAAAAACATTATAATACTTGATATGCAGCATATCATATGCTTATGAAAAGAACAGATTATTTATTGGTTACAACTTACAAGGTCAATCATACAGATTGTTCATTATGGTTGTGTTTCTATTTCTGTGATGAAAAAAAAGAGAGACTAATTTTTATTTGTTAGGTTTGAACTAGGGTGAATTTATTTATTTGTATGTTTAATCAAATATTTTGGACTTCATTATGTTAAAACTGTAGCTTATTCTAAATTTAATAATTTCAAAGACTTCGGCATAAGTTTGTTAGGATAAATACTTTGTTATTGTTTAATTTTAAGATATTCTAACATATGGGTGAGATGTAAAGTCGGTCCATTAGCTAAAAGCATGATAAAGACATGTTTAACTCAAGTCACAAGCCACACAAATAGTATGATTAAATATAACAATGTAGGTCAAGGTGTCAAATAAGTGGCAATATTATAACATTTAAACTAAAGTTGATCTTTCATTTTCCATCACACTTTCTTCGTTGTGGTGACCATTTCTAAAATAATAAACTCTGCTCTTCTTCTTCTTTTTATTTTTCTACTGGTTCTATTTTAATATTTACTGAAAACGTGTAGAGCCGGTCACTGCACAAAAGTTAGTTGAGTTTATAGTTTATACAACTCGATCGGTCATCACAAAATTTTCCATATGTTTGGTGGTTGCTTAAAACAATATATGTCACCGTTGAGATATAACCTGAAAGTCACCAGATTAAACTTTCAGGTTAAGTTTTTTCAACATGACATTAAAGCATTCCTATTTATTATTTAACTCTGATCCAAAGGGGACTATATATATTTGGAGTTGTTTTTTTTTAGTTCGAATTCAAACAGGATTGGAGTGTGCCGTTTGACACCTTTATTTTTAAGATAAACCTTACATAATTAACTTCCAATCTATAAAAGTTAATTCTTTGTTTTGTTTTGGATATAGTGGAGTAACTAAAAACTTCTCAAAAAAAGAATCATCAATTAATATGAAGCCTAACTAGTAACTACTAACTAATAACATATTTAAACAAATTAAACCAGCATATAAAACAGAATATTTGATAGATTTCACCATACATTACCGTTTGTATTTGCTTTCACCCACACCGTTAACTAACAGTTAGTACTATTTACTTCCGTTCAAAACCATCAAAACAGCACAGAGGGAAAATCCCAGTAATTCACCACGTGAAAACATAATCTATTAATTTTGTTTGGCTCTATTATTGTCTATTCTAAAGTGGTAATTAGAAAAGCCAAAATAATTCCGTCAAGCAGATTTTTTTCTTGTTTTGTTTGGTGGCTTTCAAAAAGAATCAACGAGCCTAATTTATCGTTCAATATTTAAAGCACATCACTATCGAAATTATTATGCTAATAAGTTTGTGTCACCTATTAGGCTATTACATCAAATAAAAAAGTATCTTTTTACGCATAAATCCAAAACAACTTTTTCAATCTTTAAGACCAGGAAAACAGAGGACCATAACATTATAAACATTATAATCAACTTATTGAGATTTTTAGTCTAATGTCTATATTAATATACAAAAAAGAAACAGGGCAAGAGAATAAGAATATTTATTATAAAAAAAATAAAGAACAAGAGTATTTAAATATGGAGTTGATGAAAGAAGACAATAGAGGATGCTGCATCATAATATATCAAATAAATCTCAATATAATGCATTAGTAGCAGTGGTCCAGTGAGAGTGGCACAAGAAGTTGCCTGTGGTTAAGGGCACACAGACATTTGTGTATGTCTTTAACTTTTGTCCAAAGGCATATTCTTTGATTTGAAACAGTTAGTTTAATTTAAAATTCAAAACAAAGATGGATTAAATTTCGCCGTAACTCACAAGGAAACTAAGGGTTGCAATTGCAAAAAGTCAACTTTTGATCATCCGAAGGCGACGTGAGGCTTTGGGATAAGACGAGATGTTTTCTTTAGCTCCTCCGTGATGTAAATGCAACGTATGTAACTAACCTCAAGACCCAAACTCTTGACGCATGTGAAACTATGCAGAAACTTCTAGGGCCACTGTGGTATATCTGGCCACAATGGTCCGCTGAGAGAAAGATAAGCATTACCGTGGGAAAGACAGAAGCATCTTTTGTGAGCAGAATGTGACCTTCTCAAGATTCGTAGCTAATAAACTGATCGTACACACTCCATTATAATTCGGTACTCTGAGCAATGGAGCATCTATTACTACGGTGTCGGTTCTAAAACCGGAAGCAACGAGAGACTTCGAAAGTTTCCAAAACGGGAAAGTTGAGAAAGAGGTTCTCCGAGACAGATGACGTGTTGAAGACTCTAGCGTCCTCGAGACTAAAGAACTTGAGTTTCGGGAGAAGAGCTGGAGCCGAAATGTCAAGAATGCTCTTCGTACGAAGCCTCAGCTCCACGAGTGAGCCGAAACTAGCTAAAAGATTGGAGAAAAATCGACGCTTTCAAGCTCGTACCAAGTGATGACAAGTTTCTCAAGATTTCACTCTATAACCTTTGATAACCACGAGAGGAGAGGAACAGTCTCATCGTAAGTTAACACAATTCAGATGGAAACTGCTGATTTCCGGACTTTCATTGTCGCGAATCACACGGTCAACGAATTGTACAAATCCATAATCTCACTGGAAGCAACGTCACAGACTTTCAGTTTGAAGATCTAAGTCATAATTGATAAAGATACAGAATGATGAGCCGAAAGAGAAGTTACATGAGAAGAGCTGTTGAAATGAGAAAGCAATGATATACAACCGTAACTGTATATCATGCTCATAGCTAAATACAATCACGAATCTGAAATGTTGACACTTGCAGGAAGGAACTTACAAAATATGGAGCTGAGAGTTGTTGTCTCTTTGTGCCGGGCATCAAAATGATAGAAGCTTTCACACTCTGGTATATAAATCAGGAAAACCAATATTTAGCAGGATTTTTATTAGCACAGCAAGTTTCTTTCACAGTAAAATGTGAAAAATTTCAGTATGTGACACTGATAATTATGTTTCTATACATGGAAACATAGAATCATTAACCATAAGTTGAATGACAAGCATCCAGGTGTAACCTCACAAGTATTCACCTTTATCTTTCACAACACAAGTACTCAGCCAGAATCTTGAGAAGCATTCAGAATATCATTGACAAACAATATGAATTTGTTAGTAGACTCAAGTTGGAACTCTTTCTTCTCTCGGTCAAGTGCTTTCCAGGAATATCCGAATATGTACATGTGTTGGAGAAAAATAATGACATGACTCAATGTAATCAGACGAGGAACTAACTAGAAAGTAGCATCAAAACAGAGTAAAAGAAGAAAGAGTTCGAACCTGGTCTCTCTCTCTGATACAGCCGAAAACAGAAAAATCAAAGAGAAGTGCAAAAAAAAAGAAACGTTAATTCATAGTGAAAAGAAATATAAATATAGGTGAAACCAATGTAAAAGCATGCAAAGAAAATATTCAAGAATCAGAAAAGATTAGAGAACAACGTAAGGAGTCTTTAAACCGGCATGAAGTTGTCTCATTTTTCCACAGCTCTTTCTGAAGATTCCATCTGCTTCGACTGATCTTGGTGTTTCCTATTCCGTTTCTCTTCCTTCCTCTTCCCAGGTTTCTTCCCATGGAATCCGTGACACAGTAACCGAAACGCTTCTTCTCAGTCAACATCCTGCCATGCTCATCCACTCTCTCAATCCGAATGTCCTTAAAAGCATCTCTGAATCTGTCATCTCCATAATTGTCCGTAACACCTCCTACAACAAGCTTGCCTTTCTTCTCCTTGAAAGTTCCTTGCTCTCTGAGACGCTTTAATGCGCCTGATAAACCTGTACCAACCTCAACCTCACGCATCAATCCATAACATCATCAATTGCCTCATCTTCATCAATGGAACAAACCTTGTGAAACACGTCTCTTCGTCTCTCTGATGATTCAATTTTGCTTTGATCCTCATCTCTTGAGGAACCGAGATCATGGTCAGCTTCCACCGACCTTGAAGCAAGAGCTTCGTTTTTTGGAGCGATATTTACTACCAATTTCTTGTTCTTCCTCATCGAATTCTTCTTCATAGCAATATTGAGCTGAGACATTCGTATGGAAATCCCCGCTGATGAGATCGAGACCCCAAAAAATTGTGAAATAAGAAGACAAATCCAAACGCTGAAAATTCCATATATATAAGAGAGATCTAGGTCATAACGAAACTAACTGATTTAGAATCCAAACAAGAATAGGAAAATAATTTTCAATTCCTTTTTTTTTTTTTTTTTTTTTTTTGTTAAAAGGCCTTAAATCCCAAAATCTGTAAACAACTATATTAATCACATAATAGAATCATTGAAGAGAGATTTAGTAATACCTCCATTCATTGTGAGAGAAGCTTCCTTGAATGATTCTTTAGAAGTGAAGCTTTCTTGACTAATGCCTTCTTGACTTGAAATGGAGAAACCCTTTGAGGAGCTCAAGGTTTCTCTCCTCTTTCCTATAAACTTCTTTAGGTGCTGTGTTTTCTTGTGTGTCTTTGGGATGGAGCAAAGACACCTATTCATAGGAGAGGAGAGGACTTCATTCCTCATTAGTGTTCTTCTTGATTCAATCTCAACCATTCATCCAAGTAGAGATTGAATCCATTTAGTGACAAATGTATAGGAACAAGTGTCTTGCCATGAATCTTTAATATGACACAAACTTGGAGACCAAGACATTCAAGGGAGATGAATGTCTAAGGGAGATGTATTCTTAATCTGTAAGTAACATGTTTTTCTCATGTTGTATAACATCTTTAAGCTTTTCATAGCTTTGTGTCCAAGCAATTTTTCCTAAGCATGACAAGTGGTTTAAACACTTATCCTTTAGATTCATGAGAAACTAAACTCCTTAATACCAAATTCAATTGGTTACCAAATGTTCTTTAGTGTATAACATCTCCAAAAGAAAATATTTACTATAAAGACCACATACTTGAGATGAAGAATATGTTTGACAAATATTTTTCTTACATGTCCTCCATGCCTTTGATAACACAGAAGTCTTAACAGCTTCAACAGTTGGAATTTGGCTCAGAACTATGCTGAGAAGGCTCTCAGGCAAATCGCTAAATTTATCATTAAGGCTCCCATGCATTGATTATATTTCCCTATACAAAGAAAAATAAAGATGAGTGCAAAGAAAACATAAGACGCTAGTGAAAAGAAATAGAAATATAGAGATTAGAGAACTAGAAACCAATGTAAAAAATATGCAAAGAAAATTATTCAAGAATCAAGCAAAGATTAGAGAACAATGTAAGGAGTCTTTAAACCGGCATGAACTTGTCTCATTCTTTCAACAGCTCTGTCTGAAGCTTCCGTCTGCTTCGACTGATCTTGATGTTTCCTCTTCCGTTTCTCTTGCTTCCTCGTCCCAGGTTTCTTCCCATGGAATCCGTGACACAGTAACCGAAACGCTTCTTTCTCAGTCAACACCCTGCCATACTCATCCACTCTCTTAATCCAAATGTCCTTAAAATCATCTCTGAATCTGTCATCTCCATGATTGTCCCTAACACCTCCTACAAGAAGCTTGCCTTTCTTCTCCTTGAAAGTTCCTTGCTCTCTCAGACGCTTTAATGCCCCTGATAAACCTGCACCCACCTCAACCTCACGCATCAATCCAGTAGAATGAGCATCATCAATTGCCACATCTTTATCAATGGAACAAACCTTGTGAAACACGTCTCTTCGTCTCTCTGATGATTCAAATTTACTTTGATCCTCATCTCTTGAGGAACCGAGATCATGGTCAGCTTCCACCGACGACCTTGAAGCAAGACCTTCGTTTTTAAGAGTGATATTTACAACCAATTTCTTATTCTTCCTCATCGAATTCTTCTTCATAGCAATATTGAGCTGAGACATTCTTATGGAAATCCGATTTAGAATCATGGAGAGAGATCTAGGTCATAACGAAACTATCCGATTTAGAATCCAAACAAGAATAGGAAAATAATTTTCAATTACCTTGTGGATATATGAGATGAAAAAAAAAGGCAATCTCCAAATTCCAGTTCAGTCATGTTTGTAAGAACTTCAAGGGAGGTAATGAGGTATGAGTCTGAGTTCTAGTTCTATATACTGCTCTTGTTTGGATATGATAGGAAAAATTGCTTCAGTTTATATGTGTCTAAAAATCTTGGATCAAGTTTATTTGACAAACATCAAAAGGGTTTATGGAGTTATATCTTGTGTATGATAAGATGAGCACCAAACTGTGGGCGAGTGGTATGACTGAGTAAGGCGCATGAACATAGAAGGAGAGAGCTCCAAGGAGAATCTCTGTAGAATCAATGCCATTGCCATCTTTGCCTCCAACATGGCGAAAGTTCTGTCCAATGCAGATCCTTGGTCCCCACGCAAAGGGAAAGAAAGAGACTTGGCTCTTTGTTGCCTTTGAGATACCGTCTTTGAATCTCTTGGCTTGAATTCCGCTGCATCGTTTCCCCACAGCTCTGTGTCGCGTTGGACAGCAGAATAGGTAGACTTATCTGAACGCCGCCCGGTAGCGTCAGGTCGCCTAGCTTCATCTCTTTGTGAATGGCTCTGGTCAGCTGTGCCACTGGAGGATATAGCCTAAGACCTCATTGAGTATCATCGTCATCTGCGAGGGATTCACTATTTTTTCAGCAGAACATAAGGTAAGGACTTAAGTCAACTTAAAGGTTGTTTTACTTACAACTTTGAGCTGGTTGAGGCCATCTGTATCAGGTTCTCTATCGCCAAAAACTTGCTTCACTTCGTCTCTTGCTCTGGTTTGCCAGTCTTGGTGTTGGCTTAACAGAACCATTGTCCAGTTCAGAAGCACTGAAGTTGTCTCTTGCCCGGCGAAATAAAACAACTTGCACTCCTCCATCACATCCTCAATGCTCATTCCGTGTCCTTTAGCTTGCCCCAAATTCGATTCAAGAAGTGTACCAAGCAAATCATCGCTTGGTGCTTCCCCAGCTTCTCTCGCCTCTAACCTTTTGGTAATGATCCCTCTCAGTATAACTTGGATTTCTCTGTCTGCTGCTCTCATCCTTCTATTATTTTTCGTTGGGAGATATCTACGCAAACAAAAGAACAAAGAATATGACAAGAGTGTCTCCTAATAGTTTGCAGTGCCAAAAGACCAAGAATCAAGCCAGGCAAGTTGAGATTCTATTATACCTATATCCAGGGATGAAAGCTCCCTGAAAAGATAGAATGATGAGCTGTGATAGTTCCGATTGGAGCTCAAATATCCTCTGCCCTTCTTTATAGCTGCTACCAAAAGCAGTACGAGAGATCACATCTGCCGTCATACCCACAAGCCCAGGCCAAACGTCCACTTCACGGGACGACCCTTTTTCCGACACTAACTTGTCCCATTCGCCAACAACCTCGCTGCAGCTTTGGTGGAACGCAGGCACCATATTCTATACATACAAGTAGAAGGGACAAATTGGGTCAGATCAAAACGAACATACATAGGTACCTAAAGCAACGTAACTTGTTTCCAGGGTTATGAAATAAGAAGCCTAAACCTTGATCTTCTCAAGGTGGAAAGCCGGGTTGATGATTCTTCTGTGTTTAGCCCATTTATCACCGTCATAACTAAAGAGTCCAGTGGCTATGAATCTGGCCAAAGGGGCAGATGTGGCTTTTGGAAATCATAAATTTTGTTGAACACTTCCTTGATTTGCTCAGGATCCATTATGTTGATGACTGGTGTAGGTCCACGCCACATAAAGAAAGTCCTTCCTGTTAAAACCACCAAAGAGATACAAAAGTTGAAACCTTAAGTCCAGATCGGGTACTCTGCAACATATAAGAATCAAGAAACATACCATAAGTCTTGAGCATGTGTGAATGGAAAGGCAAGACACGTGGGATGGATATCATCTGTCAGATTGATGGGTTTGGATTTGCCTCCATTAACATGCTGAAAATCCTCTTGAAATCGCCGACAAGAGGCGTGTAAGGTGTTCCGACAAGACCCTGTCTTCTCAGGTGACTCTCAAGCATCTTAGGCTTCAACCAAACCCACTTCAGAATTCTCCATAACCACCACGATACAACGGCTATAGCTACTGAAACTATTATTGACGTAGCTGATGTCTCCATTTTATTTCCCAGAGAAGAGATAGAGAGAGGGAGAAGAAGAGAGGAAGAGAGGAAGAAAGAGATGTGTGTGGTAATAAGTAGTAACATTTCCGGGATATATATAGAATGAGAATTATTTGGCGTGTCGGACAATTATTTTGTTGTGACCGTTGATTAACCATTTTACCCAATATCCCTAATATATTAAAAGAGAAAACACTATAAAATAAACCTTTGTGTCATGTGGTATTAACAAAAATGCCATGCTGAGGTGTCATCATTAGGTTCATTCTCAAGGTAAGTTTTAATTAACCCAAAGATTACTAGACTAATTACATGTAGTGCCATTCATATTATTTTGGTTAGAGACATTATAAATTTAATTTGACTAACCATTTAATGAAATATTAATAAAATAAAATATTATTCTCTTTCCTTAATTGGTACATACAGAAAATTAATAAATAAGGAAGATATGATATGATATTCAATTTAATTGTATCATAATAATAATTTCTTTAAAAATCATTACATATCTCCTATCATCTTTGTTTAACTGTATTTATAAAACAATTTGAATCACAATATTAAAAATATAACAAAGAAAATCGAATTTTTTTTATGTATATGCTATGATTTAAATTTTTAAAAACACCATAATCACTTAAACTGGTAGAAATTTCCATATTGGATATGTTGTTGTATAAATGTGTAGATATATATTATTAAAAAAAATGATGTGCAGTGTTATGAGTAGGAAACCTCATTTAGTAGGTATTTAAATGTAATTTTTATTTAATTTAATATAGTTTTTAGTTAAATCGTATAATTAAATCGAATAAAATAATTATTTTTATATATTTTTTATTTGATCAAAAATTTGAATATTACTCCATTTATTTTAACTTTCAATATAAAATTAATTATATTTTTGTTGATTTGATAATTTGGATTATGCATATTGTTTTCTTATTGGTTGGATTGTTTTGGAATTATAATAAAATATGTTTTAATTTTAAAAGAAGAAAAACATTAGTTATAATCTGTGCGCACATATCTAAACTTCTTATCATATAAAATACATGAGGTATAATTTTTTTTAAACAATAACATTTTATTTTCAGATTTTTTTTGGTTTTTAAATTTTATTATATTGTAAATTGAGTTTTATGTATCTCACTTAAATATATTAATTTAATATATGGCAATACAGTCAAAGCCTTAATTTGTTTACCTTTTTCAAAAAAATGGTTTAAAATGTTTAATTTTCACATTATAAACAAATACAATAACTAACACATAAATTTTTAAGATAGTTAAATAGACATTTTTAATAAAAATACAACTTTAGAAATCATCACCCCGTGCAGGGCGCGGGTCAAACCCTAGTATCTAGATATTTGACCAACAGTGAATGGTCATCCATCTATCTTGTCGTTTTGACCATTCACTTACCCAATGTATCTAGATATTTATGGATGTATTCAGATTCAAAACACATCCAGATACATCATTAAATAGTCCAGATTCATTTTGTCAAAACGACACTTATTATGAAACGGAGGGAGTATTATTTAGAGGTCTTTTACCGGGATTTTAATATTAATCTACTTATTTTAAAGAGTGAAATTTATTTAATATTTTTCTATGATTTATTTCAAAAATTGTATAATAAACCGCGTATACGCGGGGCCTAATCTATATAAAAGTTGAGGCTATAAGCCATTGAAAGCGTCCACATAGGATTTATACGAACCAATTAAATTCCGCCAGATCAGCATTTTAAATTTAAAAACGAAAATTAAATGAGTTTTGTGAATAATAACATTATTATATTAAATAATGGAAATTGTATTATTGTTAATTTGAATACTAACATTATACACCAATTACCTTAACCATTTTTTTTAATAGTGTTATGGAAATTATGATTAAACCGGAAACTTTGGAAAAGCTAACCTAACTAACTAAAATACAATGGAAATTAATAAATTAGCTATTTCAAGCTTTGGCATTGGCAATAAATAGCCTCTAAACTTAGAATTACATATACGAGTTCTTAAAACAATCATATTTTTCAAGAGATAGAGAGGGTTTATTAAAATAATAATGTCTTCCTTATGTTCTTTTGTTTCTAATCAATTTCGCCATACTTTGGTTTTTGATGAACTTACTGAAGGATGTACTAAGAAGGAACTATTTGCTAGACTTATCGGAGGCAAGAAACCATAATAAATGAGGTTTAATTATGATATATGAACTGCTTCTAATCGATCAAACGGTAACGACACCAATATTATTTTCTAATTACCAATTGAAAGTTAAATCAACACCAGCTTATAATACTCTCTGTTCTACCATATTTTGACACATGGAAGTACAATCCAAGCATTCATAGGATTATAAAAACTCAATCTTACTGGTCTACATAGGCACTTTCAAGATTAAGAATATTTCCAAATTTTAAACTACAAATAGTAGCATAACACATCATCATATAATCCACATAAGATTTAAAAGCATGATTTTATTGGTCCAAATAATCGTCTCCAAGATTAAGTAATTTTCCAAATTTTTAACAACCAATAGTCCCATTCCACATCATCATATAAAATTTACTATCTTAATTTGATTGATCCACATAAGCATTTACATGATTATTTTTTTACATTTTTAAATAAATAATAGATAAAGAAATTAAATATATATGATTTTAAACAACCGATAATAACTATCAACATCAGCACTAAAATTAATTTGTTATTCTCCTTTTTATATTTCAGAAAGATTCATAAACTAAATATTTAGAAAATAAAGAAATTATATTTTTTAATTACGACAAAAATAAAATTGTGTCATTTAAATTAGTTATATTGAATTTTAAACAACTAATATTGTTATTACACATAAGCTTAATTAACACTAACAATTTTTCAAAATTTTAAAATTTTGCAAAGATAATAATGAAATACATGAAACCGAAAAAGAACACAAATGAGGAATAAAGAAGAGCAGATGCAAAGATAAAGGAAGATAAATAAGAATAAAGAAGATATCAAAGTAAGAGAAATTGAAGAAGAATAAATGAACAAAATTAAAAAACCTAAAAATAAGAGTGGAAAAGGAAATGAAACCAAAGAAGGAATAAAAAAGAGCGAAGACGAAGAAAAGCAGAAACCAAACAAGAATACAAAAGAAGAATAAAGAAGAGCGAAGACAAAGAAGAGCATAAGTGAATATGAGTGAAGATAAATAAGAAAACATATAAGAACAAAGAAGAAATCAAAGTAGGAAAAATTGAAAGGAATAAATAAAAGAAAATAAAAAAACATAGAAACAAGAGTGAAGAAGAAAATGAAGAAAGTGCGACGTGGGTCAATTAGCTTCTCATCAAATATTAGTATAAGATAATATAATTATTAGCTTATCTCCAATAATATTAGCTTCTTTAGCTTAAATTTCTTCAAACTTACATTTTTTCTTTTTAGGTTTAGCTAGGTGTATCAAATAGTGAAATTTTGTTTTACCTAAGATTAAAGATACTTATGCTAAACATATTTACAAAAGATATAGTCATGGAGAATTTAAAACGAAGAGCAACCAATATATAGAAGAATAGGAAGTTGGAAGAAACAAACTCTAGCGAAACATAACATTTCCGATGAAAAGAATGAATCGTAGAAGAAATAGAAGATTAAGAACCAAGATGAAGAAAAAATAAAAAGAAATAAATAAAGAAAAGCGAAGAAAAAGATTACAGAGAACAAAAATATATAAATAAACCAACAAATATATAAGGCTAAACCACCAAACCAAATAGAATGATAAAACCAAATAATATGAAATTCATGAAAGCTATGTTTAACTATATATTTATGATTGCATTTATTGAATTATTTTTATTATTGTTAGACATTACTCATATGTATAAATATGTAGTTGTATATCTCTAACTTAATTTTATTTATATGAATCTTTTACATATTTACGTTTCGTTAAGTGTAAGTTATATTCTACATAAGATTAAACTAAAGAAGATTACAATAAAATTATTTCTAAAAGGGATAAAATCATGAAAAAATTACAGCACATAATAACCAAGAAAAAAATAGCTAACCAAAAAAATTATAACAAAACCCTATCGTCTGAACTAATCATAAGTAAGTCTAAACTAATCATAGGAAAAACAGAAGAATAATTACGAAGACAAGCACCCAAATAGGTAGAAACATTAAAAAAAAGTAAAGACAAATATATAAACAAAAGATAAAACACAAATGAAAAATCAGATCAAATAACGGAATAAGAAACGGTGAGAAAGAAAAAAGATAAGAGGAAGATGAAGAAGAAACTAAATAAAAGAGAATACAACAAAGAAAAATAAACAAAGGACGAATATAATTGGTTGACAAACAAGTGGTTCAGATATAATTTATTATGACTAGAAAGAAAGAAAGAGGGAGAGAGGGATGTAGGAGGAAAATAAAACGATAGATATGTTGAGAACAGATGTTATATATATATACGAGAATACAAAGACTAGATAACCTAGGGCTGTTCAATTTGGTAAAACCGAATCCAATTAAAATAGGTCATGTGGTTTGGATTTGGATACACCGTATAAACTGTATGAATGCAATTTTATATAAACAGTGAATATTGATATGGTTTGGATATTAACCGACCGAACCGAAAAAACCGAATAATTCTATATATTAATATAATAATATATAATGTACATATGATATATAATAATATAAGTTTACAGTAATCTCATATAGAGATATATCTACCAAAATTTAACAATTAACAAACCCTAAATATTAGAACATAGATCTTTAGATTTTTATACCTTAAAATAAAACATAGTTTGCATTTTCTTATTTAAATTTGATCATTCGATTACCAGAAAAATTAAAATATCTATATAATAAAATAACAATTAAATAAAAAGTACAAATAACCCGAAAACCGAGATTATTCGAACCGAAAATATCCAAACCGAGAAAACCGACAACCGAAACTATCCAAACCGAAGTAAGTATGGTTCTAGTATGATAGCTATTTTTATTAACCGAAAAACCAAATACCGAAAAATATGAACCGAAATCGAACCGATATCCGGATTGAACACCCATAAGATAAGCTACATCGAATGATGTGAACGCTAATGGAATAACATATTAAAAAATATATGTATACATATTTTCTCTAAATTTAATTGATTTTAAATTGTGACTTTTAAAACAGATATCTAAGAATTTGAAAGAAAAATAATTCATAGTGACTTAATTTCAAACACGCTATAAATTTTGTTGGGTATACCCAATTAATGACATGTATTTATAATGAAATTCATCATCATTTCTTGGTTACGTTGTGACATACGTTTATCACTCGAATTCAATTCGCAAGAAAGATCTATTGTATTCCATATGCATTAGAAATTTCTTGTGTGAAGCGATATTTTGATATAAAACAAATACTGATATATAGTGCAGCAAGTTTTTCAAGCAAAATTTGTTATCTCCTTAGCAAAAAAAAAAAAAAAAAGGAACCGCATAATAGGGTATTAGGGTCTAGAGGTACATAACACAACGATCACTTGAAGTTGAAAATGATTCGCCTTTGATGATTGAACCCTAAATGTGGCATCGAAGTTTCATGTGTCAGGCCAATGTTTAACCGCTTAATTAATTGGTTAATTAATTACTCCGTAGTACATTATAGATGTCAACATTGGGGACATTGTTGTATAACTGTTTTCTTTTGTCAAAATACTTCCTGTTTTTTTACTCTGACTGCACCACTGATACTAGTAGTTCCCATTTACCTATTTAAAATCATACTGATGTTTTGCTTGCACATTAAAAAATCTCGACAAAGAAAAGTTGTTCATTAACATCGGGAGACAAGACAATAAAAGAGTAATAATTATCTGTCACCATTAAATAGGAATACAGTAACTCCATGTTTTTAATTTACTACACAAGATCGCTACGTAAGATTTTATTTATTTATTATGAATAACAAGTACGCACCACCAGTTTCCATTAAATAGTGATGTTATCGCTTTTTTTTTGTATTATTTGTTTTTTTTTCATTTTTGTAAAAATAATGTTTTTTTTTAAAAATACATGTTTTCTTTTACCTGAATCTCCCGAACCTAACCCGATAACCCGGACCGAACCAGAATCAAAATTTTTAAAAACTCGAATGGTTTTCATATCTCTAGATCCGAAAAACCCACAACCCGAGAAAATCCAAAACCCAAAAAAAACCTGAAAAACCCTAACTGATTCAAAATGAAAAATATTCGAACGGTTTCCATATCTCTAAACCCTGAAAACCTAAAACTTGACCCGAAATTCAAAGCTTAGTCTCTCGTCTCGTTTAGTTTCTCGAAAGTTTTTTTTACCACTCGTGTGCATTTCCCCATATCCGAAGACTGTGGTTTTTCTGTAGAGATCTATATAAGCAAGAAAAATGCACATAAGAGACCTACCTACCTTGTTGCGATACGTGATCGATCTTAGCAACTGTATAAGGAATGCCAAAGAATCTTCCTAAAGTCAATGTCAATGTTTTCCCTCTATTTTGTTTACGTTACGTAATCCCAAAGAAGGAGAACCATAGAGAACAATTAATCACATTGAGTGTCTGAGTCACCTCAATTCATGTAAGATAACTACCTAATACGGAATCAAGTTCCTGACAACATATATCGCTTTTCTAAAATCTATGAATTATATACGTCTAACTCAATTCTCTAGAAACCCAGTCAATTTCCCTCCCAATTATCTATTGTGGAGAGATAGATTTACTATTCCCTTCCATTGTTTGTGAACAATCAGTGAAACGACACATAATTTGGTACTGGTAATAGACCCCTTTTCGACCAACAGAGACGTGCACTTACCCATATCATGTCATAGAGCTTGAGCTTCGATTTTTTGGAGTACTTGGTTCCCTACGTGACCAACTTAGATAACCTCTCTTACCCTATCCATCTCTGTCCCTTAGCCAATTTCAGATATTCCATCTTGTAGTTTTAGATCCCTAAAACAGCTTCCGTACACTTCTTGGCATAAGTAACTAATAAGAGAAAATGAAGGGAAATTAGATGGCTTGACAAACAAAAAAAAGAAGGAAATTAGATTTTACTCCAAGTGGAATCATGAAGTGGAGAGAGAGGATTTAGGGATCGAAAGCAAGTAGAAAATCAGCAAGTCTAAAATGGTAATGGTGATGGGGGGATGGTTACTTAAATTCTCCTATCTTGAGAAAAACAAAATACATTCATGTTTTTATAGATATAGATACACAAACACAACACAGACGCAGACTCGGACACACAAACTTAAAAACTCTAAAAAAGCCCTTTTTTCTTATATGTTTTCTTCTTCATTTCTCTCTTGTTTATTTTCTTATAGGCGATTTTTATGTTTTAACAGTCCTGTGATCAGCTCCCAAAGCACAATACCGAAACTGTACACATCCACTTTCTGATTGTAGGCTTTATGCTGTATCATCTCTCTGCATCCATCAAAACAATAACATAATCTATCAACAAGAATTGATAAAAATAATCAAGAACCAAGATTCCATTTTTTTGGAAACTTACGGAGTCATTCCTTCGGTCTGAACTTCGATTCTCGCCACGCCGAAATCAGCAATCTTGATAGACTTATCAGCTGAGATGAGAAGGTTATCAGACTTGAGATCTCTGTGAATGAAGTTACGTCCATGGACGTAAGCCATACTCCTAGCAACATCAAGCGCCTGCTTAAGAGCTAACTTCAAAGGCACGGCCCGGTTTTGTCTCTTAGTCAAGAACTGCCTCACAGAGCCTCCTTTAGCGTACTTGACAAACTTAGAATCCGAAATTTTAACTTGTATTTCATGAGAGGCAAAGCCAAAGTATATATACATAATACAATAGAGCGACATTATGCTAAACCTATCTTAATAGGAAACTATACAATTAAGTGAAGATACAAACTAGATTCTAGAATATCCCAATAGCCCCCCTCAAGTTGGAGCATACAAGTTGTGAATGCCCAACTTGAGAAGAAATGCGCCGAACTCCTTGCGTCCCAATGCCTTAGTAAGAATATCCGCAAGTTGATCCTCTGTTGAAACATGTTTCGGTTTAATCAAACCAGCGATGATATCATCACGAATGAAGTGACAATCAACTTCTACATGTTTTGTTCGTTCTTGGAAAACAGGATTGGAGCTAATGTGGATAGCTGGTTTGCTATCACACATAAGTGACATTGGTTCTTTGTGATCAATGCCAAAGTCCAAAAGAAGTCCCTTTAACCACCGTAATTCAGATGTGAGTTCAGTCATTGCTCTGTACTCGGCCTCCGCAGAAGAACGAGAGACGGTGTCCTGTTTTTGAGTTCTCCATGATATTGGAGAATCTCCAAACTGAACTATCCAGCCGGTAAGGGATCTCCGAGTCAATGGGCAGCCAGCATAATCGGAGTCACACCAACCCGTAAGATGAAGAGGAGAATCAGCACGAAGAAGAATCCCTTGACCGAGTGTACGGTGTACCTTTAAGATATCTAACCACTTTTAAGGCTGCAAACCAGTGTTCAACTCGAGGTGTATGCATAAATTGCGACAACACGTGTATTGAGTAAGTGGGGTCTGGTCTTGTAGCAGACAAGTATATAAGACGGCCGACCAAACGTCGGGATAAGTTTCGGGATCACCAAGTAATTCACCATCAGCTAAAGCAAGTTTGTGATTTTGATCAATGGGTGAACCAGCTGGACGACAACCAAGAAGCCCCATTTCTTCCACAATATCGGTAGCATACTTCCTTTGGCATAAATAAATACCAGTGGGGCTGCGTGCCACTTCTATGCCAAGAAAGTATTTAACGGGACCAAGATTCTTCATGTGAAAGCATGTAGACAAATATTCTTTAAACGTTTGAATCGCCGTTGGAGAATTGCCAGAAATGATAAGATCATCAACATAAACCAAGACGCGCAGACAAACATCTCCTTTGACATAGACGAAGAGTGAATAATCAGTGCGTGTTTGTCTAAAACCATAAGTTCGAAGAGAAGTACCAAGTTTTTCAAACCAGCACCGTGATGCTTGTTTTAAGCCATAGAGCGATTTCTGAAGGCGACAAACACGTGTTTCTCCATTCGATTTAAAACCTTGGGGAAGCTTCATATACACTTCTTCATGTAAATCTCCATGTAAGAAAGCATTATGAACTCATTCACTATACACCAAACCATCGGCTTGCGACACCAATGAACCTCACGATGTTCTGATGCTTCAGATTCGCAAGCATACTCACTTCTTGCTGAAACTGTTGCTCCATGAACTGTGCCTTCTCAAGACTGTTCTCAGGCCTCTCAAGGATGTTGTAGCTACATCCTCTCCATTGTAAATCCCTTTGTACAGCTTCCCAAAATCTCCTTGAGAAAAAGGAGGTCTCATGTAGAGATTCCTCAGATCAATAGTCCACTCTTCATAGTTGGCCAGTCCTTCAGTTGGATACCTACTGTCCATCAGTGCTTGAGCTAAGGCATCATCGTTCAGAGCGTGTGTAACTTTCCGGGGACGAAACACACTTTGGCCAACAGAGAAGGAGTAGCCGCCGCCATGCATTGGATTCAAACCATGGTGGCCGATAAGAGCGTCGGTGGAGCCAACGCTGCTGTTGTCCACAGACATTGACACAGAGCCTCCAGCGTTGCTCGTCTGCATACTCTCCATTGACATGTTGGAGCCTTCGTTGAGCTTTTGATAGAACACTTGAGTGAAAGCATAGTAGTCGTTGTCGTTGTTGTGGTGATTCCCAGTAGCCATGACGTTGAAATTTGCTCCGTCAAGCATCTTCACAATCTCCTATTCTTTGAACAATCTGCAATAAGGACACACACATAAAGATAAGATCTTTAAACTAAAAGATGACACAAGGCAACACACCAAGAGCAAATAGTGTTTGTCATCACTCAATCAATGTAAAATGTTCTTACTAAATCAACAACCTGCTTTTCTTTTTAACTGTATTTTCAAAAATGTTGAGGTTTTAAAAGAAGCTTGAGATTTTGTTATAGAAGACACACTTGACATGTAATTTAAAACTCTCTACACCATGCACGCCCGCCCTAGTACTTACTTGTTGACAGATGAATTGTCTTTTGGTGCATTCATTTCTGTAAATCGATTCCTGATCACTACTTCTTCTCGAGCAGAAGCAGCTGCTGCCCTGACCTCTTCTTCTGACAAGCCCTACATCAAAAACGGAAACAGATAAGCTTCTATCCACTATAACTTTGAAAAGGAAGAGATTTATTACCTGAGACATGCCAACTCAACTTGAAATTTAAAGAGTTAACTACAGAGAGTAATGGATCATTAGATGTAGAGAAAACAGTATGAATACCTGCTGCCTCCTCCACTTCCTGTTGCAATCTCGCTAAAATTTGAATTCATCTGTGATTCCAATCCCTTTGAAGTTGGTGACATGCCATATCCACCGCTCATGTCCTTTCCAAACGAATCCACATATTATAAAAGAGGAAGAGGAAACTGTGAGTTTCAAATTTTAAATTAGAAAACATAACAGAGAAGACGGGAAGAGGAAACGACGGGAGTTTAGGTTTTCTTATGCTACACGATATGGTATCATGTACTGTAGACAGAAACATTAAGATTTAGAAGTTTTCCTTTTCTTATTTAAGAGTCGGTTTTAGTGTTTTCCTTTGCGCAAAACTTTTCCTTTTTCTTAATAGCCTAGGAGCATTGTACGAGAGGCAAAAATCCCAGCCAAAAGCCCCACTTTCCTATAGAGTCATTGGAAGGGAGAGTCCTAAGCCCCACTCCCGTGACAAAATACTATAACTTCATTCTATTAACTCTCTGTTAAATATTAGTTTTTTTTAATGGTAATTTGTTATTTTAAATGGGCAAATATATTTCCATCCAATAATAAGGGGAAAAAGAAGGTTATAATAAAAAAAATAACGTTAATGATAGGTCGCGTCTTTTTATTCATAACATCATCACCCGCTCTAAGAAAAATTACATATAATACTTATCTAAAAAATTTATGTGCATCACTTTTGCAAGCATCCTAAAAATTTATGTGCATCACTTTTGCAAGCATCACTTTGTAACGTGAGCATATTTAGTAGGAAAAAGAAACTCATTTAACGGTAATTAATTAAATAGATAAAAAAATTGTAGACAAGGGTGTGTTTAGAAACAGTCGTGTCTTTTCCTGAGTGAACAAACGTAACGCCTTCTTTCAGTCGCAAACCCTGAGTTGCATCTTCTCACACAATATAATGAATCATTGTCGTAGTTTTCTATCATGTAGCATTGTGATTCGTGATTCGATTCGTTTCTCATCACGATTACCACTTTTTTCCGAAGGTGGTTTTCTCGGTTCATCACCACCATCTCTCCATTATTCTCGCGACACTGTCTTTGAATCGATTACAATTAATCCTCCTAACTTCCGTCCTGATCTACAGAATCGTTAATCAGAGCCAGCATTTAGTTTGGGTCTCTGACTCAATGTATAAGAGTATAATCGTCTCCTAACTCGTATTTGATTTCCACAGTTCATTAATCAAGATTGGGCAACAAATCCAGTGCTTTCTTTCTTTTCTTTCTCTTCTTTCCTGTAAGTCTTTCTAATTGTCCCCAATATTCTGATTATAAATTTTGGCATTCGACATATTGATTCTGAAAAAGTCTTATATTTAGAAAAATTATGGAACGAAGTTGAATACGAATAAATTCGAACATTCATCATACCAAGTTGGAGTAGTTAGAAAACTTAAATTTACGTCTGTAATTAGGATGAAACCAATTTTTTCTTGTTATAAATTAGAAAAAGTTGTTTATATGTAAGACTTGTTCACGCCAGTTAATGTTTTAATGAAAAGTACTTTGCACAAAAGAAAAAGAAAAATTTGTTCAATCGTTTGCATGTTGAATGTAAGGACATCTTTTGCTTTCAGTATGAACGAGTAAATGAATGAATTGACAAGTACTTTTAATTTGACAGAAACAGCACTTTAGAAGCCATTACTTCTTGAACAATGTATAAATAATGATACGTGTCTATTCATGATCATGTAGACTGAAAGTTGATTACGGCTGACCTGCATTTTAAAAACATAATGTGAAAATATACTTAGTAAAATCAAAACCATAAAAATATTTCATACTTACCCTTGTTCGTTATTAATATGGCTTTACTAATTTGATGTTTTTCATCATCACTATGATTTCGGAACGGCTGGGAACAAAATTAATCTTCTTCACTTCGCATTAACAAACTATTCTTTACATTTTTTGGAAACCCAACTATTTTGTAATACTTGACCAACATAGTTGTTTCTGTCAAATTAAAAGTACTTGTCAATTCATTCATTTACTCGTTCATACTGAAAGCAAAAGATGTCCTTACATTCAACATGCAAACGATTGAACAAATCTGTTTTTTTTTTCTTTTGTGCAAAGTACTTTTCATTAAAAAATTAATTGGTGTGAACAAGTCTTACATATAAACAACTTTTTCTAATTTATAACAAGAAAAAATTGGTTTCATCCTAATTACAGACCTAAATTTAAGTTTTCTAACTACTCCAACTTGGTACGATGAATGTTCGAATTTATTCGTATTCAACTTCGTTCCATAATTTTTCTAAATATAAGATTGTTGGAGGTGGGCTTAGCACCCCTCCATATGGGCCGGCCCAAATCAAGAGACCCACCTAATCGTCCAGGACGGCTGGTCCGAGCGCCGAAGGACCGCTGGTCCGAACGTCCCCTCAAGCTATAAATAGCGCAATAAGTACCTATTGACGGGACAGTTGAAAAGTTAGAGAGAGAAAGCTTAGCATTTAACACATCACAATTTGCCGAGCTCTGTCTCCTTTGCCGAGCTGCGTCTCCTTTGCCGAGCTCTGTCTTATTTTAAAAGAGATCGTCTTTTGACCGATCTCTATTGTAATTGCCGATCCCGCTTACTTTTAATACGAAAGTCTCGACCCACATCCCCTCATTACTTGTTTTGCCAAACCGAACCATCTCAACTCTTACAATTGGCGCCCACCGTGGGGCATCGAGACATTTCTCTACGCAAAGCGGATCGGCATCAATCGGTAGTCGAAAACCGATCTCTCCCACCAGCTGCAGCATGACAGCCCGGCAGCACGAAACATTCATCGGCCCCCGCCGACCAGAGGACCAGAACGAGCCGATCTCGGCACATAATTTCATCGGGCCGACCAACCGCCCACCTGACAACGCCTCGGCACAAGAGCATCCTAGTTCTTCTGAGCAAAATCTGCCGAACGCAACGAGATACCGATCCACCAGAACCAACAAGCAACGCAACAGACGGAGGAAGCCGGCACCGCGCTACTCTTACGAACCTTGCTATCACGGCTCGACAACTTCGCGCAAGGCACAGACAACCGTCTTAACAACCTGTTCGCCGCACAGATGTCCAGCCAGACCCGGATTAACGAACTCCAAGCATCGCGCTTCCCACCAGAACATCTTCGAACGCCCGGCCCGCCATTGCCCACGCAAAGAACCCTCTTCGGCGAGAATCCCTACGCCACCAACCGTCATGATCGGCACAGCTGGGCCATCTTGCGCAAACACCATCTCCTACTCCTTGGAAAACGCCGAATGGAACGGCCACGAGTATGAAATACGGCGGATGCAGAGCCAGCTCCAGAACATGAACTCCCGAATCCACCAAGCGACAAGCTCTGCTCCGGAAATCGATCAAGTGCTTCGAGAGGCACAGAACACCCCCTTCACCGACAGGATCGGCCACGCTCCGGTCCACCACCCGGGAAAGCTGAAGATACCCCCTACGAAGGAAACACCGATCCAAGACAGTATCTGACGGCTTTCTGCATCGCGATGGGCCGAACCCATTTTTCCGAAGAGGAAAGAGACGCTGGTTTCTGCCAACTCTTCGTCGAGAATCTCTCGGGATCGGCCTTAACTTGGTTCTCGAGGTTGGAAAGCCGATCGATCGACAGCTATCACAACTCACCACCGCTTTCTTAAAGCAATACTCTATGTACATCCGAAGAGGAGTCTCCTGTGCCGACCTGTGGGCACTCAGCCAAGGGCCAAAGGACTCCCTGCGAAAATTCATCGACAAGTTCAAAGGCGTAGCCTCGCGCCTCACGGCAACCGTCACCAAAGCCTCCCGGCGCTGAAAAACGGGCTATGGTACGAATCGGCTTTCCGCGACGACCTGATACTCAACAATCCGCGCTGGAAGATGCCCTATGCCGAGCCAACATCTTCATCGCCCTGGAAGAAGAAAAGACTGCCATGGCAAAACGCCACACCCCCACTAAAACGCAGGCACCCAAGGAGAAACCAAAGGAAGAGCACTACGAACCAAGGCAGCATTACGACAGGAGCTACCGGAAAAACGAGGCCGAACGCAGGGCCACGAACTGCTACGTCCAAGCCAAGCCAGCTGGACCGATCATGGTCAGAACGCCCCCAGTGGAACAAATACGTCCGCCCGGCCGACCCAAGATCGGCCCAAGGAGAAGGATCTTCGCAGTCCTACTGCGACTTACCACAAGCGCCCTGGCCACGCTACAGCGCAATGCCGACACTTGCAGGAGTACCTCCTCGGCAAATTCACCAACGGGGAGATATCGGGATCCGATCCAGCCTCTTTTCAAAGGAACCCGAATCGTCCGCCTCCGAACGTCCAAGGAGGAGCGTCGGAACCCCAGACCAGGAGATTCCCGCCCGCAGGACCCAGTCGCGACAGAGAAAACGCCGATCAACAGAAACAGAACCACGAGGAAACGAACGCCTGCCCGTCGCCACCATCCCCGCCGAGGCGAAGGATCAATATGATCATGGGCGGTTTGCCGACCTGCAACGACTCGGTGCGCTCGATAAAGGACTATGGAAGGAAGACGTCCATGGCTCAACAGTGGAAGCAGGACGTCGGTGCCGAACTCGACGAGGCAAGCATCATCTCCTTGAAGGACTCGGACGCCAACGGTCTCCACACCTCGCATAACGATCCTCTGGTAATGGAACTCATGATCGGCGACTGCGAAGTCACCCGGGTATTGATCAACACCGGCAGCACCGTAGACCTCATCTTCAAAGAAACACTGCAAAAAATGGAACTCCAGGATTGCCGAATAAAACCCAAGAAAAAGCCTCTGACAGGATTCTCCGGAGACACCACCATGACGGTCGGCACCATCAAACTCGCGGTACGAGTAGGACAGGTCACCAAGATCGTCAAGTTCGTGGTGTCGACAAGCCGGCAATCTACAACGCGATCATGGGAACCCCTTGGATCCACGCTCTAAAGCGGTCGCCTCGACGTACCACCAATGCCTCAAGTTCCCAACGCCGAACGGTACCGTCACGATCCGAGGAAGTCAGGAGATGTTGAGAATATGCTTCGTTGCCGAGCACAAGCTACGTCATTCATCCCAAACCTGCGTCATCGCCGCAGCTTCTCCGACCGTCGAATCCAGCCTCCCGCCCCAGAGCGAGCCCCCTCGAGAGTTGGTCAGCCAGGAGAACATCGACGACCGGGATCCAGAACGCTGTGTTGGGATCGGCACGGAAATCTCGACCGAGTTAAGGACGAACTGCTCGTTTTCTTGGGCGAACGCGTCCACCTTCGCATGGAGCACGGATGACATGGTCGGCATCAACCCGGCCGTTACCAGCCACGAGCTAAACGTCGACCCGACGTTCAAACCGATAAACAGAAGCGGAGAAAGTTGGGCCACGATCGCGCTCAAGCGGTAAACGACGAGGTCGAGCGCCTATCCAAAGCGGGTTCTATCGTCGAAGTGCGTTACCCGGGGTGGCTCGCGAACCCGGTCGTGGTGAAGAAGAAGAACGGCAAATGGCGTGTCTGCGTGGATTTCACCGATCTCAACAAGGCGTGCCCCAAGGATAGCTACCCGCTTCCCGCATATCGATCGGCTCGTAGAGGCAACGGCAGGGAACGAGCTACTATCCTTCATGGATGCTTTCTCCGGTTACAACCAGATCCAGATGCACCGGACGATCGGGAGAAAACAGCTTTCATAACCGATCGAGGGACCTACTGCTACAAGGTCATGCGTTCGGCTTAAAAAACGCTGGAGCAACGTATCAACGCCTGGTGAACAAGATGTTCGCGGAGCAGCTCGGCAGCACCATGGAGGTATACATCGACGACATGCTCGTCAAGTCGCAACGCGCCGAGGATCACATCGGACATCTCAGCACTGCTTTGACAGTCTCAACGAGCACGGGATGAAGTTGAACCCGACCAAGTGCACCTTCGCAGTCACCTCGGGAGAGTTCCTTGGATACATCGTCACGAAGAGAGGTATCGAAGCGAACCCCAAGAAGATAGCGGCCGTTCTGGAACTCCCCTCGCCAAAAACCACCCGCGAAGTACAACGCCTGACCGGCCGAATCGCCGCGCTCAATCGCTTCATCTTGAGATCGACGGATAAGTGCCTCCCCTTTCTACCAGCTGCTCCGAGGCAACAAACGCTTTGAATGGGACTCCAAGTGCGAGGAGGCTTTCCAGGAGCTGAAGCTCTACCTCTCCACGCCCCCGGTCCTTTCGAAACCCGAGCCCGGCGAACGCTCTACCTGTACATCTCGGTGTCCAGATCGGCAGTCAGCGGCGTTCTAATCCGTGAAGACAGAGGGGATCAGAAGCCGATCTTCTATGTCAGCAAGACCCTGGACGACACGGAAACGCGCTACCCAACGCTAAAAAAGCTAGCCCTCGTAGTCGTCACGTCCGCCTGCAAACTTTGACCCTACTTCCAGTCTCACTCAGTGGTCGTCCTGACAAACCTCCCGCTACGAACGATCTTGCACAGCCCGACGCAGTCTGGCCGCATCGCCAAGTGGGCAGTAGAGTTAAGCGAATACGATATCGAATATCGTAACCGAACATGCGAGAAATCCCAGGTCCTGGCCGACTTCCTGATCGAGCTCCCCCCGGACATGATCGGCGCCGACCCCAACGTAAGAGAAAGCTGGACACTGCACGTAGACGGTTCATCCTCAAGGAACGGCTCTGGGATCGGCATTCGATTGGAATCCCCGACAGGCGAAATCCTCGAACAATCGTTCCGCCTGGCATTCCCGGCATCCAACAACGAAGCTGAGTACGAGGCCCTCATCGCTGGATGCGCCTGGCGAAGGAGATCGGCGCCAAAAAACTGCAAGCGTACTGCGACTCCCAGCTCGTCGCCAACCAGTTCAGCGGAGAATACGTCGCCAAAAACGATAGGATGGACGCCTATCTCAAAGTGGTTAAGTCTTGGCTCGAGAGTTCGACACTTTCGCCTGACAAAAATCCCCCGAAGCGATAACTCCTCTGCCGATGCGCTCGCCGCTCTCGCCTCCACCTCAGACCCCGACTACGCAGAGTGATACCTGTGGAAAGCATCGGCATGCCGAGCATCGACATAGGCGAAACAAGCATGGCCATCGTCACGCTCGAACCCGGGGTCGAACGATGCCGAGGAGATGAACGAACCGATGGATCCCGAGCAGGTCCTGCTACCCGACGACTGGCGAGAAGAAATACGAGACTACATTCACGACGGCAAAGTGCCGACCGATCGATGGGCCGCTCGGCGTCTCAAAGCAAAAAGCGCCACTACATGGTCCTGGACGGCAATCTCTTCAGGCGAAGCGCCTCCGGTCCCCTCATGATTTGCGTCTCCGGTTCTGAGTCCCGCCTCGTCATGGAAGAAACCCACTCGGGTGCAGGAGGAAACCACTCGGGAGGACGAGCCCTAGCATGAAAATCAAGAAGAACGGCCATTTCTGGCCGACCATGATAGCCGATTGCGAGGCCTTCGCCAGCAAGTGCGAACCCTGCCAATAACATGCGCCGATCATATCCCGACCGACCGAGGAACTAACCACGTCCACGGCGCCTTACCCTTTCATGCGATGGGCCATGGACGTCGTCGGACCGCTCACAAGATCCCGCAGAAACGTTTCATCCTGATCGTCACGGATTACTTCACCAAGTGGGTCGAGGCCGAATCGTACGCCAACATCAGGGCCGAAGACGTCGAGAAGTTCGTCTGGAAGAACATCATCTGTCGGCACGGCCTCCCCTACGAGATCGTCACGGACAATGGTACCCAGTTCACGTCGGCAACATTCGAGAAATTCTGCGCAAGTTGGAACATCCGCCTCAGCAAATCGACTCCCCGATACGCACAAGGGAACGGCCAGGCCGAAGCCACGAACAAGACGATCCTCGCCGGAATCAAGAAACGGCTCGAGGATAAAAAAGGATTTGGGCCGACGAGCTAGACGGAGTCCTATGGTCCCATCGAACGACGCCACGCCGATCGACAAACCAGACACCCTTCACTCTTTCTCACGGAATCGAGGCTATGTCTCCCACCGAAGCGACAATACCGGGTCTCCGCCGAACCCATCTCCCGAACAACGCCTGACTGAACAACAGCATGATCAAGGACTCGCTCGACTTCGCCGAAGAGCACAGAGACCAGGCCCTCCTCCGGATCCAAAACTACCAACAGTTGGCAGCAAAGTACTACAACAAGAGAACGTTCAGCAGATCTTTCGCCAAAGGCGACCTCGTCCTACGCAAAGTGTTTGAAAACACTAGAGAAGTCAACGCAGGGAAGCTCGGCGCTAACGGGGAAGGCCCCTACATCATAACCATGATCGTCAAGCCGGGAGTCTACAGGCTAGCAGCGATGGACGGCACCGAAATCCTGAGGTCTTGGAACTCGATAAACCTCAAACGCTTCTACTACTGAGAACCGTGACAACACCACCGCCGACCCCGAAGAAACGAAAGACAGCCCCCCCACAGAAAAATCCAAAGGAAGAGAAAGCACCCCGCACAGGTGTAGAAAAAAAAAAAAAAAAGGTACGTAGGCAACCTTGTTCAAAAACACAAGGCTCAGTTGTAATTCTAATAAAAAACAAAAATTTCACTACTCCGCGTTCGGCAAGAACTAATACCAAAAAGCCGAGCAACGACCTCGCAAGCCACATTCCCCACGAACTTACACGGACTGATCATCCGCCCCTCGGCACTAAGACTAAAAACCTAAGTGCCGAGGAACCTCCTAAAAGCCGAGCGCCGACCTCGCAAAATACGTTCCCCACGAACAAAACGGACCAACCGTCCGCTCCTCGGCACTAAGCCTAAAAATCTAAGTGCCAAGGAACTTACAAAGGCCGAGCGCAGACCTCGCCAAACACGTTCCCCAAGAACAAACGAAGTAAAAAATGAACAAGCTCGGCCAACAACAAACTTTCGTTCAAGACGCATCAAAAGAAATAAAACGAGAATTTCCATTAAGTATAAAGGATACGTTTACAAAGCATGAACATAAAAACAGTACAAAAGAAGAAGAAAGGAAAAGATCGGCACAACAGATCATCCACGATCGGCTCATCATCCGCTTTAATACTCGGACGGCACGAATTGACCCGAAGTACCAGCGTCCAGTTTGGCAGCCTCATCCGCCAGAGGTCCGAACTCCGACTCGAGCTTGTTCGCCGTCACCACCTCCTCCTGACCGATCTCCGCCTCAACTTGCTCCACATCAACCGGCACTTCTCGACCCAGTCAGAAGGAACGGCAACACCGGCTCTCATAAGTGCCTCGTAAGAGTCACGAACGGCAACCGCCTGATTCAGAGTCAAAACGCGAGGATTCATCCGGTCCTGATCGGCAAGGAAGGTTTTAACCTTCTTCAAACGAGGCCAGAAGATATCGACCGTCTCCCTCTTCGCCTGACGAACCTCCAGAGCGACTCCGTCCTCTTGGCTTCATCCGCCGATCGCCTTTCAAGCTCGGCAATCTTCGACTTCAGCCTCTCATTCTCAGCACCACGAGAGTCGGCATCCAAACGAGCCAAGGCAAGATCGGCTTCACTCCGCTCAAGGCCACTCTCCTTAAGAGCAAGAATGCCCTTGAGCTCGGCGACCTGGGACTCCGCTCGGCGTTCCTCTCCTTCACCTCAACCAAGTCTGCACGACCCTTTGCCGATCTAGCAGACATCTCCCGGCGGTAGTAATCGATCAAAGCATTGTTACTTGCGACCGATTGGAAGGTATGACGGGCCATCTGCCGGAAAAGACGCTTCTCCTCTAATGACACTGGAGGACGCGGTTCCGAAATACAGTCCGGCTGGAGACTGTAATACAGATCGCCTAGGCCGACGTTGCTGCTCAAGAAACGATGACGCCTCGTAGTGAAAGTCGAAGACTTCCATAGCCCCCTCAGGCTTCACGTCCACGTCAGCGTCAGATCGGCGGCTCCGCCAGCCTCATTTGCCTGCCTCGGCGCCCACTTCCTCTCCCTCGACGGCCCCCGTCTCGGCCATCTCCCCATGCTCGGCAGAGGATGTCCGCCTCCTCTTTCTCAGACCACCCGAGGACCCCGGCACGTCGATCTCGCCGCCGAGCTCGGTAAAAGGGAAGACAGGCGTTTCCTGCGAAGAGATAGGAGGATCGTCCCGCAGCTCCTCTTCGGAAAACGGTTCGCTGGTGGGAGTGATGGGTTCCCTCAGACCCGTCTCCGGATCTACCCGAGTAAACCCGGATGTTCGGCATACCAAGGGTCTGCCCGCTCGGCGGCCACGCGATCGCCGATCGTCACCACGGTCTTAGATGAAGACCCGGATGCCGTTTTCTCCTTCTTCCTCTCCGCGTGCTTCCCGGCTGAGGCGCTCTTCTTCCTCTTCTTCCCCACCACTTTCTTACCATCGGCCGTCACCTCTTCTACCGGGCCCGGCACCTCTTGCCTGTAGCGAGGCAAGTTCAGACTAAGCTTCCCCATTGGCTTCTGTTTCTTCAAACGCCAAGAAGCTGAGAGAACAAGGCAGATCAGCATCACGGAAACAGATCGGCAACTACAAACGACATATGTTTACCTGACGCGATGCGAGCCACTGAGCTTTGATCCGCGTCTCGGCGATGTCCTCCCACTTCCTCTTCCCGTGCTCGGAAAGCCGCCGAACGTCCTCGTAAAAGTTAACTGGAGGGTTAAGCCAGAAAGGAGGCCGAACTGAAAAGGAAAGAGAAGAAAAAAGAAAATGATTATTGCCAAAAAATTGGATCGATCGGCAAGCAAAGAAAACAAAAACAAATATACTAAGGCATCCTAAAAGGTTTTGGCCGAGCTCTCTACCAAAGATCGGACTCCACTCGTTCCGGTATCGCCTGTCCAGGTCAGGGAACAGAGGCTTCGTTCACGCGAATGAAGAAATACTCGTTGATCCAGTTCCTCGTCTTGCTAGGATGACCAGTTATCATCCCATACTTCGGGTTTATACTGACATACATGGTCCCGGGAGTGCCTGGTTGACAGCAATGGACGACATCGACTCATAAAAGTCCAGATTAAGCTCCATCCCCAGTTCGGCAGCCAGAACCAGCGTGCCCGTGATATTGCGAACACCCGCCGGACAAAGTTGAGAAAAAGCGATCCGAACATCCTCACAGTACGCGACGAACAGCTTCGGAAGCGGGAAGAACATATGCGACTCCTTGAACCAAAATTTGTAGGCTGTAAACCAGCCCGGCGGCGCTCTTCCACATACGCTCGTCATCTTCAGGAAGGCGCATTTCCAGACCAGACACGCTGGCGTGATCACGACGAACCATCAAGAGATCGTCGATCGTACAATGACTCTAGATTCCTCAGATCCGTCGGCTTCCTCTTCACCTTTGGCTGTTTCGGCTCGCTTCGAGTTCCCCCTGACCGCCGGGGTTGGCCTTTTCTCTCTGCCGAACCGCAGCCCTTTCAGCAGCCCTTTTCCCCTTGGCTATCGAAGCCTTCCTCTCCTTGGCGATCGCGTCTTTCTTCTCTTTGGTGATCTCGGCTTCCTTCTTCTTCCTGGCGACCTCGGCTGCCTCCTCGTCTCGAGCAGACATTTTCCTCTTCCCCTCGGCAATCTCAGCCGCCCTCTTCCTCTCGGCGATCCCAGCTTTCCTGGATGCTGCCGAACGAGCCCGGGCCTCCTCGACCGTTTCCATCTGCACGGCTGCCGGGACAGACGCGGCCGAGCATCGAGCACGCGTATCCTCTAAACGCGTCGAAAACGGCAAGTCGTCCAAAACATCCTCATCTCGAGACTCGGAGTAACAACGGGGACTGCGCCGATCTCGCGTTGACATTGTCGACGATCGGCGAACCTCAAGTCTGCTCGGCGTAGCAGAGGCCTCCCCCACCCTTTCAGGGGTCTGATCACTCCGATTCACGCTAGAAGAATCGGCATCTGACCTAGGCGGCGATTCACGCTAGATCCCGTGACGTAAATCTCCTCTGCCGAAGCGGACTTCCGTGTCTGAATCGATCCTCATCACAGCAAATATAGAGATCGGCGAATTGAGAAGCTCGGCAAAGTCGGCGAAAAGAGAAAATTGGAGAGCTCGGCAAAACCACAAAACTAGAGAGAAGCGAGAGAGAATTCTAGAGAGAGAAATTATTACCTCTTATGGAGCGAAGAACAGCAGTTCCGGGCATCATGCTCCTGCTTTTATAGACCGAAAGAGAAATCCGAAGCGACGCAATGATTATGGAGAAGAGAAACGCTCGGTGGCCCACGCCTTTTCACTGCATGGACGACACGTGGCACGCTCTTGATTCACGCCAACCCATTCTACGCCGAAACGACGCCTCGAGATCGACACCTTCAGCATATGCCGACTTGGGGGGGGGGCACCCCTCCATATGGGCCGGCCCAAATCAAGAGGCCCACCTAATTGTCCAGGACCGCTGGTCCGAACGTCCCCTCAAGCTATAAATAGCGCAGTAATTACCTATTGACGGGACAGTTGAAAAGTTAGAGAGAGAAACCTTAGCATTTAACACATCACAATTGCCGAGCTCTGTCTCCTTTGCCGAGCTGCGTCTCTTTGCCGAGCTGCGTCTCCTTTGCCGAGCTGCGTCTCCTTTGCCGAGCTCTGTCTTATTTTAAAAGAGATCGTCTTTTGACCGATCTCTATTGTAATTGCCGATCCCGCTTACTTTTAAATACGAAAGTCTCGACCCACATCCCCTCATTACTTGTTTTGCCGAACCGAATCATCTCAACTCTTACAAAGACTTTTTCAGAATCAATATGTCGAATGCCAGAATTTATAATCAGAATATTGGAACAATTAAAAGGACTTACAGGAAAGAAGAGAAGGAAAAGAAAGAAAGCACTGGATTTGTTGCCCACTCTCGATCAATGAACTGTGGAAATCAAATACGAGTCAGGAGACGATTATACCCTTATACATTGAGTCTGAGACCCAACCTAAATGCTGGCTCTGATTAACGATTATGTAGATCAGGACGGAAGTTAGGAGGATTAATTGTAATCGATTCAAAGACAGTGTCGCGAGAATAATGGGGAGATGGTGGTGATGAACCGAGAAAACCACCTTCGGAAAAAAGTGGTAATCGTGATGAGAAACGAATCGAATCACGAATCACAACGCCGGGGAATTAAAATTCCTTCCGCCGGCGTTGCTTCCCTTTCTATGGGCTTTGTAAGATTGGTGAGGTGTGTAACACCAATAAAAAAGACAAGACACAAAGACACTAAGAAAATAATATTTGACTTTAATTTTTTGATAAAGCTATATGAACACAGAACTTATTAAAATGTATAATTTTTTTTTACGTCATATATAATTTTTTTTTTAAGAATGTGAGTGTAATTATTAATTAACGAATAAAACAAATAAGTTAAAATAAATAGGATTGTCTTTTTTTAAAAATATTTCAATTATGAATTTGCTTTAATCTGACCATATACACAAAAATATAATTTATAATAAAAGATAATAGTATTAACAACAGTCTAAACACATCACAAATGATAATAGTTTAATTTTTAAAGTACAAATTTATTAAATAAATAATATGTGTCACACATAAATAATAGGTGTTTCACCTATAAATAATTATAAATAAAATATTTTTAACTAATTAGTTCAATAACAAACAAATCTTTCTATATTTTATCCTTTCAATGTTCATCCTATAACATATATGATTTAATATTAGATTTTTGAAATAATTATTTTTAATAAATTTATGAATTGTCAAATGTGTTTGGGAATTCTAGTTAGAGTAATCAAAATAGATAATACTGAAAATAAATATGCTTGACAATGAATATAGAAATAAATCAAAATTAATAAGGTAAGAAAAATTATAGAAGTGACAAATCAACAAAAATAGTTTCAATGTTTAGGTACGATATATCATAAAAATTTGTAGAAAACAAATTAGTTTCAGCGCGATTTTGTTAACTCTTTAGAACAATAATAACTATTTAGTATTATTATTATAATATTGCTAAATTTTTTATTCCCTTTGTTCTTTAATGAGTAGTATTTAAGAAGGTATTTTTTTTTTTTGGTCGTACACTGGGAAACAAAAGGTGTCTCCCAATAATTTATTAAAAAATAGAGTTCAATTACACACGGATTCTTCTTGGTCTTGTAGACCCAAGTTCATCCGTCTCAAACAAAGAAAATACATCTAAAGGAGCGGCCTCTAACGTATGAAACCCTCCCGGCAACGAAAAAGCTTAGTTCGCCAATCCATCTGCAAGACAACTGGCCTCCCTATACACATGAGAAATCCGGACTAACCAGCTCTTTGCAAGAAAGCCGTGGCACAAACATATCAGGAACGACAGTGGATGAGTCTCACTAATCCCTGTCCGAAGAAAACCCACTATCAACTCCGAGTCAACCTCCAGCTCCACCCGAGAACACCGCTTCTGAGCACTATTTTATTTCATAAATAGGTGGTGTTTACATATTTCAAAGAAAAAATTAATTATTTTTTGTTGTCTTACAGTTTGAATTCTACATACTGACAAATCTGAAAGTGAAGTATTTTGGGATTGATTTTAAAACATGTTTATTTTTTTTTAAATGATTTCTTATTTTAAAACAAACGAAGTATTATGTAAAGTAAATGATATGTATTGCAAATAAATTTGAAAAAAACATTATATAAAATGAGTTATTGCGCGATTTCGCGCGGGTTCAAGTCCTAGTTACTTTAGTGGAAAACTAATAAAGAACTACGTTTATAATTTATTTACCTATTTACCTATTATATGTAAATTTTATTGAAACAAAAAGTTTGGTCATTTTAACATATTATGATATATGTATGTTATAAAAATACAAAAGAAAAACATGAAAAAATAATCAATGATTATTATGGTCTACCATAAAAAAAATATATAAAGAGTTATATATTATTTTCTACAGTGTTCTGAGTGAAAATGTGATTTTAATGTTTAAGAATTTTACAGTCGAGACAAAATATTATAATCTAAAGAAAGTGAGAAGAAAAAAAGGTTAAACATGCTAAATTTTGGGAAGAAAAAAATGAAGATGAAATGTGGATTTAACATATCGACAATGTGAAAAATGTTTTGGTGAATAATATGTCCACCAATATTTAAAATATCTAACCAAATTAGGATATTATATTATTTAGTGTTAAAATAAAATACTTATGTGATCAAATCAGAAAACAATTAATAAAAACTTGATATAGGTTTAGTCCCGCGCAACGCGCAAGCTCATTTTCTACTATACATAAATAAGTACCCAAATATTCACAAGTTATTTATTTTTTATTTTAAAAAATACTGAAATAAATCAAGGAACAAAAACAAACAATATGCTTCTTATATATGTTCAACAAATTATAAAACAGAATTAGAAAATAAATATTTTATTTATTCAAAATAATATAAAAATGACATGTTAATCCATAATAATTTATATAAAACTACAATTTGCAGTAAATATTACCCCGTGCCTTAATGTGCGGGAGATCATCTAGTTTCACATTAAAGAATCAACAGATAATACTTACATGTATGCTCTTCTTGACCTAATCAAGACACTGTGCAAATCTCCTACGAAGATCATCATGGAAGACCTAATCAAAGCAGACAATACACTTTCGGATCTGATAAACGCTGGCTTAAACTTGGATTGGTTTCGTCAGAAGTTGGATCACGCTTTGGAAAAACAGATAGCTTACGACACACGGATTTGAGAACTCGAGAAGCAAGTCATGAAGCGAAAGCTGGCATTGGCAGAACTTGAAAGCGACCTAGACAAAGAGAAAGCCGCACCAACGGCTGCATTGATGTTGCTTGACTGAAATTATAGCAGAAGCTGTTGCTTCTTCTTAACTAATTAGGTCAAGAATTTGCTCTCCATTATAGGAAGTTAGTTAGGAATATGTTTTACTTTCACACTTTTTATTGAACTTTCTTTTCTTGAGAAACGAAACGAGAGCCTTATTATTATTATTATTATTATTATTATTATTATTATTATTATTATTATTATTATTATTATTATTATTATTATTATTATTATTATTATTATTATTATTATTATTATTATTATTATTATTATTATTTTTTGTCAACAGCCTATATCGGTTCCGAAAGCGCAACCGATGGAACAGAGTTTACATAATATAAATCATAAGGCAGATCTCGAGTACTTTGTGCTAACTTGTCCGCCTTCGTGTTTTTTTCCTTGGGATATGAGTTAAGGAAAACGCCTGAAACTTCCTCCTGCACTTCTTCACCTCTTCGAGGAGAATTTCGAACGCCACTCTTCAAGTTTAGATAGCATCTTCATCAAATCAGAACAGTCAGTTTGAAAATTCATTTGCCGTTTATTATGGACTATCATACTTTGCATAGCCAATACCAGTGTTTCCAGTTAGGTTTGTAACAGGGATAGACCCCACCGTAGGTTACTAGCCCCTACTAATGTTAACCCTGATCCCGAGTCGAAATATACCAACCCAGTCCCGCTCGACATTCTGTGTCCTTCCACGACCCATCTATTTAGCACCATGCGCCGGGTGGTGTAGAATTTAGATGAAGTTTTGTACTCACAGGCGCCATATCTGACAGCGTCTGAGCAAAAGCCTATGCACGGGCCTCTATTATCACTGAGTCCAGGACATCCCTCGGGTCCTTATCGTCATTCAATTTTTTTTTTTTTTTTCCGACCTTTCCAAATAACCATTGTAACCATTGATATATTAACATGTCGTCATCATCTGGAAGATTCCAGAAAAGATGTGCCATATTAGTAAACAAAGCTCCAATAGGAAAATGTTG